CTGACCTGAGGTGGGGATGAGAAGGAAGAAGCAGGAGGAGAAGAGGAGAGGAGAGGAGAGGAGAGGAGAGGAGAGGAGAGGAGAGGAGAGGAGAGGAGAGGAGAGGAGAGGAGAGGAGGTGAAGGGGGTAAGAGAGGAGGAGGTGATTAGGATATTTGCTCATGGGGGGAGGATCAGAACACGTATAGGATGAGGACGAGGGATTGGAGGAGCGGTGAGAGCGGGAAGGAGAGGAAGCAGAGAGAGGAGAGACAGCAGAAGAACAAAGGGCGAGGGCAAGGGAGAGGGAGAGGGGGAGGGGGAGGGGGAGGGGGAGAGAGGGGGAGGTGGGGAAGGAGGCGGGGGAGTTACCTCAGTGAGGAAGTAAAACTTGAGGAAGGGAGAGTTCTCGTTGAGGTTAAAGCTGCTCTCTCTCTTCTTCATCGCTTGCGCGGTGAGATGCTGAAACTTCAAGTCCCTTCCCTGCGATCGCGACGACATGCTGGAGGGCCGCGCGCTCATGGGAGGCTTCGGTTGCTGTGGGGGGAGCGGAGGATAAGGAAAACTTGCATAAGGAGGGAGAAAACATACCCCTCGAGCACTTTGAGATGTGTGATGAACACTGCAGCAATTCAACGTCAATATAACACTCGCTCTGCCCCTTTCTTCCTCCTCTTCCTCCCCCTTCCTCCCCCCAATCTCCCTTCCTCCTCCTCCTCCTCCTCCATACACATCCCCTTTCTCCTCTTCTTCCCTTCTCACCGCTCAGTCGTAGCTCGAGACCTCTGCGTCTCTCTAGCGGAGGATATGAATCTCGGCGTCTTGAGAGCAGCTTCGTTCTGCACGGGCAGACGCAGGGGAGGGATGCTCGGCAGCTGGAGCGACTTTAGTCTGTCTCCTCCTTCTACCTCCCCCCCACCATCATGATTCCCCTCCTTTCCCTGCCTCCTCCCTTCCCCTCCCCTCCCTTTTGTCTTCCCTGTGCCCCCTCTCCCTCCCTAGCTCCCCCTCCCTAGCTCCCCCTTCTCTCCTCCCTCCCCTCCTCGTTCTTTCTTTTCCTATTCCTCAGCATCAAATCGCTGCCTCCTCCTCTTCTCCCGCTCTTATCTCAGCGTACCTTCGCCTCTGACGATTTCGCGGATCCAAAGATCTTGATCTCTTGCTGCTGCAGTGGATGTCAGACGAATGAGAGAGGACGGAAGAGGACGAGAGAGGCGAAAGGTAGGAGGGGAGGAGGGGAGGGAGGGGAGGGAGGGAGGAGACGAGGGGAGGGGAGAGAGGGAGGAGAGAGGAGGCGCGGTCCAAAGAGCTCCAGCAACTTCTATTTCACCTCTGATGCGAGCGACTGGGTGGGACGGGAGCTTAACGGAGGGCTGTCAGAGTTTCCTTTCTTGGGAGATTTCCTGGGAGACTGAGAGAGAAAGAGGGAGGGAAGGGATGGATGGGGGGGAAAGGATGGATGGGAGAGGAGGGGAGAGAGGGGAGAGGGGAGAGGAGAGGAGAGGAGAGGAGAGAGGGGAGAGGGGAGAGGAGAGGAGAGGAGAGGAGAGGAGAGGAGAGGAGAGGAGGGAGGGAGGGGGAGGAAGGGAAGTCGAGTCAGCAGGAGATCGACAAAGCAGCACTTCGCTCACCGGCTGCCTGTCCTCTGCCCTCCCCCTCGAAGTATTCCTGCCACCCTCCCCGCTGATCTTCCTCGAGAGCGGAGCTGGGCAGAGGAAAGGATTACCTCTACTCAACAACCCGTCACATCTCACCGTGCTTCCCTTTCTTCTTCTCCGCAGTGATCTGCTCCAACTCCTCCTGCTCCTTCTTCAACTCTCCCACGACTCCCTTCACCTCCTCCATCCCGGACGACGTCTTCATGACCTCTCCGTTCGGGGAGAGGTAGCTAGCAGGCCCGATGTCAGCCCCGGTCGACCTGAGAGGAGCCGGTAAGACGTACAGCAAGCTTCAATGTCCAACACAACTACCAGTAGGCATAGAGCCGTGCGATCTCCCCGAGGAAGTTGTCGTCAAACTCTTGCTCGGAGAGGGGGAACGCCACCTTGAATGCCACGAAGACGCTCTTGGAGATGACGTTGTGGAATTTATCGAAGAAGACGTCCTTGCTCGAACTCGGTACTTTCGTGAAGATCCTTACAAAGTTCCTCGCCATCCTTGCAAACATCTTGTCCTGCTCCTCTTGACGACCACGGTGATACTTGTCTCCCACAAACCACCAGAACAGGTCCTTCACAGAGTCCTGAGCTTCAACACTCGCCAAAACTTCCTCCCAGATGTTCTGATCGCTGACCTTCGCAAACTTACAAGAATCCGACAACCTCTTGATGAGATCGTTGGCTGAAAGCTTCCCCGGCAGCTCCACTGCTCTTGCCCGAAACCCAGGGTACTCGAGTAGATGAACGTTCTTCACCTCCACGTCCTCCTGTTTCACGTTGATCGCTGCTGGTTGTGCTTTCCTCTCACTCTCCTTCCCCTGCACGTTGACCGCAGTGAGGAAAGTCTCCTGCTCGCTGGACGGCTCTGCCCTGGACTCCTCCCCTGCATCATCTGCGCTCTCTTGCATGACTGGCTTCATGGCAGCTGATACGTGAGACTCCACACGATCCATCTGCTTCTGCAGAGTTCCGACCTGCGCCTGGATCCTGTTCATGGTTTCAAGGAGCGGGAGGTCCAAGAAGCTTTCCAGGAGCTCTTTGCTTGTTGGTGCCTCTGGCAGAGAAGCAGAGACATTCTTGAGCTCGTCATGCAGAGCAGCATCAACACGATTCCTGACGTTCATCCTCGACGCTCGCATGGAGCTGCTTGTCAAGGACGAACGGAGGGTGAACGATCTTGACATCATGTTGGAGATGGTGTCACTTACTGAGTTTATCTGCTTCTCATCTCATCTCATGTAAATCATGTGAAGCAAGAAGAGTTTGTCTTCCTTCTCTTCTGTTTCATCATGCTTCCTTCACATCCCATCTCTTCTCCCCTTATCCCATCATGGCTACGGAAATACCGTGCCATTGGGCCGTTGGAAACTGGTCGTTGAAACGGTTACGGGTATAATGTCGGCGTTCAGTGAGCCTGACTCGGAGCGCGGCCGGGCCCCGGGCCGGCCCAAGGCTCCCGCCCGGGTCACTGGCCGGGGCACTGGCAGCCTGGCTCCGACTCGGCGACCCGGGCCGGGCCCCGGACTCCGGCCCGGACACTAGTAGCCTCCTCTGCAGTGTGGCGGCGGGGAAGTTAACTGTTCGAGTCAACGGTTTCAGACGGTATCAGTCTGAGCCCTAGGGCAGCATTGAGCGTGCGGAGCCGCCTGGCAGACTCGTGACGCGGCCGCCGGCGGCCCCCCGCGGCGATATCCCCCCCCCCCACCCCCCGGGGAACGTCACCCAGTGGAAATTGTCTGAGTGTTTTCGAGACTCGGACATTGCGGTGATTAGCAGAGATCTGTATTTACAACCGTGAACTGATGCTAAAAGTTACACAAACAAGTGGCCAGGGTCGTCGATCTAGACTTTCTTGAGGACAAACACATGCCCTTCTACCTGATTTCCTCGCTGACAGCAACAAAGACTCAGCTGAGGTCGAGCAGACTCTTGTCCGTTCTCTCCTCTTACCTGCCACCGAATGGGGCCATCTCCCACAGCCTCAACGAGGAACTTGAACTTCCTAGCCAACCTGCCGCGAGCAAGAAGAGTCACCTTGCAACCTGAGTCTCAGGGCACAACCTGTCCACGTAAGCTCTTTCATGCGCGACCCTACCGTTGGACAGGATCGCCCAGCTGGCAAAGAGCGTCAGCGGAGTCGCTACTGCCCTCCTCGTCTTCTCACCCCTTCGTGTGGATCTCCTGGTCAAGGGGATCGCCAGCATCGATCTCAACGTGGTCGTCGGAGCGAGAGCTCGCGTACGGGAGAGGAAGATGCGCTTCCAGAGCCTCTACGGTGAAAGTGAAGATTCCTCCCGGCACAAGGGCCTTGTGCGCACGCTCCATGATGTCCTGTGAGGTTCAGTCAGGAAGGAGGGTCAATGTAGCAGTGGAGGAGGACATCAAGCCTTGCGAGGTACGGCAAGACGTCTGCTGCAACAACAAGATCGTAGGTCTGTTGCTGCAAGCTTCTCAAGGATGAGGCGATATCTCCTTCTATGAACTGAGTGTAAGTCGGTTTTGATCTGCGAAGGGATTAACGAATATCGAATCTGTCGGAGGGATCGTTTACCGAGCTCTCTTCAGCATTTCTTGCGAGATATCGATGCAAGTTAGATTTTGGAATTGAAGCTCTGTCTTCTCTAGAGCATCAGCTAACAATCCTGTTCCACACCCCAGATCCAGGGCATTGATTGCGGTTGGCAGAAAGTTAGAGTCCTGTCCAAATGTTCATGATTTTCTTCATCGTCAATCGTGGGGAAGCGCTTACATGCTCCTTCCGACTTTCATGTACTGCAACCAACGCAGATACTAACATGACATGTGCACGATAAGCAAGGAGTTTCATGGATGGCTCATAGAACTTTGCGTATGCGTTGAATGCAGTCTTCACATACCTGTCTCATGTTAGAGTAAACAGGAGATGACATGAGCGGTTACTCTTTGGAAGGCTCCACTTCATCGCTGACTGACTGTGCTCGACTGCTACTAATGTCTTCTTGTTGAGGACGGTGCGAGTGTTGAGCATCATGGTCGATTTGCCATCGTTGAACGGACTGAAGCATATGCGATGCAAGAACAAAATCGGGAGCATCGTCCAGTACCTTGCTAGACGTCAAGAGACCTTCGTTCACATGAAGTCTGGAACCACCTGCTTGTAGTACTTCGCCGCATTTCGTAGATCGCCATTGACGTGAAAGGTTGCTGCTACGAGGTATGCAGCCGCAGCCCATCGGTGTTGGAGGAATAGGTAGGACTGATGTACTGCGAGCACATGAGGGTTGAAAGAAGGGTCTTGCTTGATCAGAGTGATGTACTGTTGGATAGCCTGATCTATGTCACCATGATTCTGATACGCAATGGCGTTCTCGTATATAGCTTTCGAGTGAAAGATACGACCAACTACTGAGGTTTGAACCACCAAGACGATCAGAGAGAGAAACATGATAGACCGCATGATTTGCACGATGGCTTGTTCGGGATCAAAGGGATCTTCTGCATTGAAGAACAAGAAGTGAACGAGGCCACCGAGGGATAGAGGATAGGGACAAGTCCTCCTTGGAACCACAAGCTGCACGTACTTCTTGCTGTCTGCGTCGCGAGATCCCTTGTGGGATGAGACCCGGTATGCGTTGGCCAACCTTGTCTTTGATATCCCGAACAGCTTCTCATGCAGCCATTCCATCGCCCGCGAACTTGGTTCGAAGTACGCGATGAACTCGAGCACGTAAGGCTGTCCAGCCATGAACCACAGGTTCAACAAGAGCAAGAGGGTTACTGAGGCGAGGAAGCAGAGCATGAGCAGGAGGGTCATGCCAGGTCCGAGGTGCAGCAGGAAGTGCGAGTGATACACGACGAGCATGAAGCTGCAGGTGAGCCCCAAGCTCATCGACCATGTCAGCGCCAGCGACATCCCGCAAGCCTACGTCACTGCATTGTGCGACCAAAACCAAACCCGCCTCGTCCCCTATGAAGATTGCCTCACGGATACTTTCACGGATACTCACGGATACTTTTTGCCTTTTCTGCCGAGCATCATGTCGAGCAGCTGTATTGCTTGACAGCAAAGAGGAGAAGAGAAGAGAAGAGAAGAGAAGAGAAGAAGACAAGAGAAGAAGAAGACCAGGGAAGAAGAGAAGAGAGGTAGGAAGAGCAGACGAGGAGAAGACAACGAGAGAAGGCGAGCAGAGGGGAGAGAGGAGCAGACCAGGGGGCAAGAGACGGAGAGAAGGGAAGGAAAGAGGAAGAGGGAAGGACGACCAGACAAGGACAAGTTCAGCAGGCCAAGTCAATCTCCAAAAGCGGCCGACGGAAAGATGAAATGTTGAATCGTGAAAAGAGGTAAACAAGGAGTTACTTCACGAGGACTTTGTGGGCAATGGGGTGACATCTAGTTCATTCACGAGGGAGGAGCTGTCTATGAAAAGTTAGCAAAACACTTTCCATCCAACTTTCGTCTTGTTGATCAACTTGCTATGCCCAACTCGCCGCCTACAAACGAAGGAGAATTTCAGGTCCAGGACATTGCGAGCGGAGCTAAAGAGCGACGATCGCCAGCCCTGCAAGCGGGTGATCAGATCTCTGGCTCGAGTGAGGATGCAGATAGCATAATTTATCAAGAAGCATGTGAAATAGCATCCTTGAAGATACGAAAAGTCTCGGCAGGCTGCGCAAAACAGGACACTGCGCCGAAGAAGCGTTATGAATCTCCGAGTGAAGTCAAGTGCGAAGGCAACACATTGTTTGATATACGTGAAGAATCTCTTTTAAAACCCAACTCGCTGGATGAGACCAGCAAGATTCTCGAGAATGCATTGATTCGGAAGATTTCTCAACGACTCGATTCTTTCGAGTCAGATGCAAGTTATGAATCGATTCTGTCGAAGTTAGATAGGGAGTCAAGTTTGAAACTCTCGGACGATGAAAACATTGGCAAGAAGGAAGCAGAAGAAGAGAGCTCTGCTGAGACGAAATCTCACAAGACGAGTGAGAGCGACAACGGGAAAGAGGGAGGAGCGAAGAATGATCTCAGTGACAAGGATAGATCCCCTTCCCCAGACGTCGAGCATGAGCCTTGCCGATCAACGTGAGTGTTGTTGTCACAGCTTCTACTCTTTCATTGATGTGAGATGTTCTTCTAGTTCGCCACAAGTCTTCTCAAAGATTCAATCCTCTCTTCCGTCGAAAGATCGAGCGGCTGAGATATGGTATGCACCGTCTGATGTTTGCACCACTTGACCCTGCGCGTTCTTCAGCAAGGTGAAGCCAGTCGAAGGTGGGGTTGTCATGCCATGGCCGGCCCGAGCCGATGTCGAGTGAGGATTGATTGCTAAGTTGCCGCTTTTCTTTACTTACACTGTGTGTTTTCACTCTAAGGTATGAATGCATTGAAAGCTGCGGTGCTGGCTCGTATGGAGAGGTTTACAAAGCGAGGAGAAGATCCGACGGGCAGCTGGTGGCCGTCAAGGTCTCAAGTTTGATGAGTGAGTGAGTGTGACAAGAACGTCCAGGTCCTCGAGAGCGACAGATACGCCCTGGGAGAGGTATCTTGTGTCTATGATGGTTGTTCTTTCGGAGGCATATGATGGGATGCGTGCGGATATTTCGTTGTCATCACAGTCTTGTCTTCTCTTTCTGGCTGACGTGTTCATCTAGGCCTCGCTGCTGCGGGAGTTGGATCACGAGTGTATCTGCAAGCTTCTGGACTGTTTTGAGTGTGTCAACGAAGGCGTCACCTGCCTTGTCATGCAGTACGCGTCCGGCGGTGACCTCCTGGAGCGAATCGTCAAGAATGGTCCGTTGACAGAACCGGTGACGTGTTCCGCAAGGGGAACTTGTCTTGCTGACGGGCATGGCAGGTGGCGGCGGAGATAGCGAAGCATCTGTTAGAGGCGCTGCAGCACATGCACTCCAAGGGAGTGGTACACCGTGACCTGAAGCCTGAGAACGTCTTGTACTCGAGGTGAGAAGCTGCTGGAGGGCAAGCTGGGCAATCTGACGTGCTGTTTGCCTGCAGTGAAGACTCCAGGAAGCCGCTGCTGGCGGATTTCGGCGTAGGGAAGCGACTGAACGCTCCTTGCGATCGAGTCGAGGAGAGCGAAGCTGCTCGCAACACGACAGATGCCCTCAAGACGCATACGCAGCAGATCGGAACGCTGGGATACAGTGCTCCTGAAGTGTTCAGCGAGCAGGGACATAGCTTCGCTGCTGACGTGTGGAGCTTCGGGGCGATGATTTACGTGCTCCTGTGCGGCTACCACCCGTTCGACATGGGAGACGATGCGGACGAAGTGATTCAGGTGAAGCAGTTGCTGCTGTGCTGGAGTGACGGAACCTTAGGAGCGAGTTCGGAACGGAGAAGTGCTGCCGATGAGGGGAGGAAGCTGGTCCGCCGTCTCCGAGGAGGCGAAGGACTTTGTGTCTGCTTGCCTGAAGGTGGACGTGGCCGAGAGGCTGACGGTGGACCAGTGCTTGAAGCACGCGTGGCTGAGCAAGGACTTCATGGACGTGGTGGAGCTCGTGGACGCGTTTGGCAGGCTGCAATTCTATCACAACTCAAGGAGGGAGAGCAGGAATCAGGCGGCTGCTCAGACGGCGACGAGAGTGAAGAGGAAACGAGAAGCCTCCGTGGCGAGCGATGATGGCAGCGCAGGCAGTTTGACTCCAACTCCCTCCAAGAATCTCAAGTCCATCAGCCGTCCTCTCCCTACCACAGCTGAAGCTTATGTTCACGAGGGGGTTGACCCGTTCTCGGAGGAGGACGTGGAGAGCAACATGGGAGAGATGTGGTTGGCGAAGACGAAGCTAGATCATGAGAAGAGGGATAGGAAGCGAGTCCATGCGGAGAAGGCAGGAGGACTGCAGACTTGCCCTGAGGTTTCTCCTCCCTCCAACAGCCTCACGCAGCAGGAAGCGAGGGTTGAACCCTTCAGGGACGATGAGGGAGAGGGAGTGAGAGACTTGTCGCTGAGAGACTTACAAATGGGGAGCGACGTCACCTTGTTCGGGCAGGACACGAGGAGAGAGAAGAAGGGAACAGCCAAGACAAGAAACAAGCTGAAGGCCAACACAGACTGCAAGAAGGACAATCTTACCTTAGAGTTCGACAATTTCTGCTCAGTCGAGGGTCTGGCGATCAACTCCATAGGAAGCCTCTCGATGCTGACGCAGGAGGAGGCGGCAGGCAAGGTCCCGGCGGGCAGCAAGCATTGCAACTCGCTCCACAACTCGGAGAGTCTCCTGTCGGAGCTCCACATCGAGGATGGTGAACCTTCTAGGAGCGACATCGCTGCAGAGGGTCAGTGGGCCGAGGCGACTCATGCTGAGCGACCAGCAGCCAAGAGACGAACCAACTCTGAGGCACCCGTCCCTGACTCATCACCCCAGCTGCAGCCCTTGATAGTGGACCTCACGATCAACGAAGGAGGAGAGCCGCAGGTGGGGGAGTTAGAGCTCGAGCAGCGCAGGAAATCGTTGAGCTCGGAAGCAACTGAGCTCTCCCTGGGGATTCAGCTTGAGTCGCAGCTGGAGCTGCACGCCTCGAGCGAAGAGATCCAGAGGAGGAAGAGGGAGAGGAGTGACGATTGGGCCAGCTTGGATGCTGCGCGATTAACAGAGAAGGGCACATGAGTTCATTCGTGTGCTGCTGCTGCACATTCTCTCTCCCTCTCTGTCTCTCGCAACGGTTACCAAGGCCGTGTCACATCAGTTCTTGTCACTGAGTTTCTGGATGATCTTGCACTGCGAGCATGTATATTAGTTTGAATGTAACAAGTATGAACACTGGAAACAAGCTCACCATGATCTGGAACCCTTGACCGAAGTCCGAGAGCAAGCCATACTCGTTCTTGGCCTGCGAGAGCTGTGAGCGACTCTCAAGTCAACGAGTCTCTCTACATGGTAGGTCTTCATGAGGCCGTATCCGATGATCTGAATGTCAAACCCTTCATCTTGCAGCTCTTTCACCAGTGGGAGAGAGCCCGTAAGGGAGTAAGGCTTGCACTCGCCCAGAACTTCCTGAGTAGCATCGAACAGAACCTTGTTTCCTGCCAGCTGTAAGTTCCTGGTTACCCCTGGCATACAACGGACCTGGAGATTCAAGGTTACACGCGATCCCGGACATGGCCTCTCCCATGATAGTGAGCTCCAACGTTCCGGTCAAACCCTGGTCGGGCAGGGTATACCTGACAGCAGCAAGGAATCAGGCACGAAGCACATGGCTGGTGATTGTGTACTTGGAAGAGGGCCCGCGAGTAGGCAACTTGCTGATGTCCTTATTGAGCTCTTCCACGTATGACTGCAAAGACTTTTTGGCCTGCTGTGCCCTGCGACAGCATCATTCCTTGACTCGGTCAACAACCACTCGCGCTCACGTGTAGAAGGGAGTAAGACGCATGTCGCCACAAATGGTGCACTCAGCCGGGATCTGGTTCACTCCCCCTCCCGGGTAAGACCATTGGGTTGGCTTCATCGAAGAGCAGGTGATGAACTTGTAGCGCTCCTCCTCGGGGTGCGGGGGGAAGTCCTGGTAGAAGCGCTCCTGCATGTACTTGACTGCCTCCATCGCCATCTCCATGGGATTGATGGCCTGATGGGGAAGACCGGAATGGAACAGCTTGCCCTTGGCCTTCAGCTGCCAGGGAACCATCCCAGCAGTTCCGAGACAAGGATGCTTGTCTGCAGAATCAACCCAGAAGACAGGGCCTGACTTGAGGTGCGCGACCATGCCTCTCTTGACCAGCTCGTCGATGCCGACTCCCTCGATCTTCGAGTTCTCTTCGTTGGCTATCATCACGGCTGCGACGTTGACATTCAGCTTGGGCTTGTTGATGCCAATCTGCTTGAACAACTCTGTGACGAGTGCGACGTGGCCCAAGCAGTCAGTGACTCCTCGCCCGCAGAGCTTGTCGCCGTCCACCATGAGCTCATACGGATTGAAGTCCCATTCGTCGGGGTTGGCTGGAACGACGTCGAGGTGCGACCCGACGAAAGAAACGTAAGGAGCATCTTTCTTCTCGCACTTGTACTCGATGATGACGTTGCCTCTGCCCTCAACGAACGTCTCACGTCGCACTGACAAGGGGCCTCCCTTCTCTACGGTGTATGGCTCCAGCACCTTGAGAACGTGCTGGGACGCGAGATCCTCCTGTGGGACATTCAAGGGGGGATTGTTCTGCAGATTTCTGGGAGAAAGTGGATGAGCACGCGAAATAAATACTCGAACCTGCCTCACCTGTTCTCGCCGATCAGCTTCCTCAAGAGCTCAACGTATGCCGCACTGTCGAACTTGAGAGATTCCATTGCCATCGAACAACGCAAGCAGCAGAGCAGGAGGACAAGAAGCAATACAAGGGTGGTACGAACAATCCTACAACAGATTTAAGAGTTGGAAACAATCCAGCAAAGAGCTCCTCCCTCTCTTTTGCACGTTCTCTCCTCTCCTCTCTTCCACCTCCCATTTCTTCTCCTCCGATTCATGTCTTTGCGTACTGCCTACGCACTACTACATACTTCAGCTGAAAGTCGTTTGTTCATCCCTCCTCTCCTCCTCCTCCACCACCTCCACCACCACCACCTCCTCCTCTCTCCTCCTCCTCTCTCCTCCTCCTCCACCTCCTCCTCTCTCCATTTCCTCCTCCACCTCCTCCACCTCCTCTCTCCTCCTCCTCCACCTCCTCCTCTCTCCATTTCCTCCTCCACCTCCTCCTCCTCCTCTCTCCTCCTCCTCCTCCTCCTCCTCTCTCCTCCTCCTCCTCCTCCTCCTCTCTCCATTTCCTCCTCTCTGTCCCTCCTTGTCTCCCTCCTCCTCCCCCGCCTCTCTCCACATCCCCTGCATTCTCCTGCCAGATCATCTTGCAGATCGTCTTGGCGGACGAGCTTGCGCGGGGATGAGGGCCCGTGCATCACCTGACCGGGGCTTTAGACGACATGCTGCCTCGACTGGCGCGACATGCGGAGAGTATGGCCGCGCGTTCAGCCAGCACCACAGGCTCGATGGTGACCAGGAGGGCAGCAGGACATAGCGAAATGAGAGCTCATGCTGTGAACCGCGTGACTGAGGGATGGCGGCGCCAAGGCGTCAAGGTTTTCTCACAATCCTCGGCAACCAAATCTGCTGCACCTGGAGCAGGGGAGAAGGTAGTTCAATGTTGTCAGACTTGTCTTGTTGATGCCTTCTGTCTTTGTGCAGAGTATGGCTATCCCGTCCGCGGTAAAGAGCAAGATCATAGTAGACTTCAAACCAACCTCAAGCATCTTCGAAACAGCGCTGAGACTGGTTGGATTCTATTCGAAGGAATCGAAAATTACTCGATCGGCCTTGAACTTATATCTGAATGCACGGTATACGATGTATGTACTCCAGTCCAACTCTTGACGCCTCTTCATGGCACAGTCAGCATGCTGACAACCCCAATTTCCTCAAGCACTTTGGCATGCCCAACGATTTCAACAAGCAGTAAGTGCCAAAGAAAGTATATAAAACCAGCATGACGACTGATCACAGGTTTTGCATTATTTCTATCCATATGTGGATGATCTTTGTTCGGCTTCGGAAGGAGTCTGTTGGCAAGCAGGTAGACATCATTCATGCTCGCGCTCTCATGCTCATCTCGCCGCAGCTCTCGCAGGAAGTGTTCGACAACCTTTGGTTTGACGCGCAGAAGCACCTCAAGAACTTGGGCGTCGGCGTCTTGTCGTTGAACGCCAGGACGAGGGACTTGCAGGTCTAGGCATCCTGTCTGCCGCCATGAGCTCGTCTGAGACGGTAAACTTGCAGAACGTGTTCTATGGTAGCGCTGTTGCCTTCGACTTCTCTCTGGGGACTTCAGACGCTCTGCTGGCGATGGCGTTGTACCGAAACATGTCCGTGCCTTGTCCTGTGCGGTGGGAGGGAGGCTGACATGCTGTGCCTCCTGCTGGGCAGATTCTCTTTCGATGGGGACGCTCATCATGTCGGAATGATGGTGGCGTACATCAGACGGGAGCTGAACAAGTTGGAGGTTAGTGGTGCTCGTTGCAAGCTAACTTGACTGACATCACCTCAGATGATGGACTCTGACACTTTCTTGGGTGGTATGTGGGAGTTTTCTATGCCTTAGAGACTGTTCGCGTAAAACCGCAGGCTGTATCTGTGATTTCATTTGTCTGCTGCCTCTCAGTAGTTACCGTACAAGCTGCACTGCCAGAAAGGAAAATACTGAGGAGATGCCTGAATGACATCGAATGTCTCTCTGTCAGATTCAGCCGATAAACTTCCGGAGTACTACCGTACTGAAAGTTTAAATACTCCGCCCTACCTGAGGCGCCTGCGGCGAGTCATAGAGTGCCGGGCCGCAAGCCGCGGCCGCGAGTCGGACTGCCGACAGTCGGGAGGCTGCCAGTGACCGTGCCGGGTGACTCGACGCCGGGCCCAGGTTGGTGACTCTGACTCAGTGAGTTGTCGGAGTGTCCCCGGCGGGCCCGGCCGCGGACCGACGGTCCGGCGGTCCGAGACTTCACTGAGTCCGATGGTCAAGGCTCAGCGGCTCGGCGTGCCGCGCCCGGCCAACCATCATTATGTTGAACGTGACCACATCCCCACCAACCATCTCATAAAAGCCTTGATCGAACCATGGCACCTGCCATGGAAAAGCAGGGAGAGGAAAACGGAAGGACTGGAGAGGAGGAGGGGAGAGAGTGTAAGGAGGAGAGGGAGAGAGGAGAAGGGAGAGTAATGGAGAGAGGGAGAGAGGAGGTTGGAGGTAGAAAGACATGTAGGCCAGAGGAAGAAGTGGAAGGAACATCAACGAAAGAGACTGAAGATAAAGGCAATGGTTCCTGGAAAGCCCTGGTACATCATTGATTCAGATGTGATCCTTTCTCCTAGATACATGACCAACTTGCTATCTTGGCTCTGGCCCACGAGCTCGCAGCAGAGAGAAGGTTCTTGTATCTTTTCCCCATCCCACGTGACAACTAGCACCAGCTGAAAGTTCATCGCCGCCGGCACCGCAGTCGTCATGTCCAGTGATGCACTCAAGGTGTATACAATCTTTTGTATTCGCAGCGTCTTCACACGTATGGCAGACAACCAGATGCAAAGGGATCGAGCTGCCCGGTTGCAAGTACATCGAGAGAGCAACTACATCCCATGATTCCTTTAGATCCCCGCAATAACATGCGAGCTGGAGGAGAGAGCCAGTCAGTAGCTAGCCTCTCGTCAAGGCCCGCGAGTCTCTGACACACCATGGCCAGGTTGCCACATGTAAGTCAGACTAGAAGCTTGCCCACACAGCGGGTCGTCTCAAACATCCCCCGAGGCGAACACACGCCGCCGCATCAGGAGGCAGCAGGTACTTGCAATCGAGACGGGGGAGAGGAGGAGGTGAAGATTTTCGTCAGGGTCCGGCAACTGGGTGTATCCGTCTGAACAGATGTTCTACAACGCCATGCAGAGGAAGGGATGGGAGCCCAACGAGAACGACATGCATGCGGCAAGCAGCAACGCTCCTGCTGCATGTGCTGGTTGCTGACGGGAGACGGGCAGGTGGTGGCGATTCACAATGCTGTCAACGAGCAGACGTGGAAGGAGGTGATGAAGTGGGAGAAACTTCACTGCGATGAGTGCCAACAGCCAAAGGTGACGTGACTCGTTCGGTTGACCCATGGGTGGCTAACTTACCCTCCAGCTCTTGAAATTCCAGGGCAAGCCTGATCAGCTGAGTCCGAAAGCAAGGATACAGAGCCTGTTGGGGTACAAACCTCCTTTCGATCGCCATGATTGGATTGTAGATCGATGCGGCAAGCAGGTTTTACCTCCTCCTCCTTGTCGACTGGCGGCTGACCAGCAGCAGGTTCGATATGTCATCGACTTCTACTCAGGCAAACCCATCGCTGACAAGCCAGTCTCCTATCACTTGGACGTGCGACCGGCTCTTGACAGGTGGAGAAGTTAGAATTGTTGCTAACGATAGTGTTACCTTGTATGTTACCTTGTACGGGGACGCGATGACATTGCTTCTTTCTTCGCCGTCTTTCCTTTCCCTCCTCCTGCTCTTCTCCTTTGGAATCCTATCCCTATTCCCTCCCGTCTCCTCCTCCCACCGTCCTCGCCTCTTCTCTGTATGACCCGGTTGTCGCAGCTTTGAGAGTCTTTCTGATCGCCTTCAAGTCTATCTCGGTGCCCGCAAGCTTGAGGTGAGGAGAGTCGCTGCCCGGCCTCGTCTCAATCATTCTTTCCCACAGGATCCAAAGTGAGGAAGGGAGAAGGAAGAGGAAAAGCTGGGGCCGGGGAGGAGGAGAAAGTAAGAGATGGAAGGGAAGGAGGAGAAGGAGGTACGAGGCAGGCGAATTTAAGAGGAAGGGGAAGTGAGTGACACAGGGAGATGAGAAAAGTGGGGATTGCAGGAGCAAGCTCAGAGTGTTATAGCCGAAGCAGCCACACTCACTTGAAGATGTAACTCAAAATTTCCTATCCATTCATTAATCCTCGTCTTCCTCCTCCTCCTCCTCCTCCTCCTCCTCCTCACCCAGCTGGTTTCTGTCCCTCTCTCCCTCACGCACAGTTCGCCTCCGTGAGCACATTCAGCAGCTGCCGAGCAGTGATCCCATCTTCCATATCCTCGTCATCCCCAGCACAACCCCAGCTGACATACCTTGATTCTGCTTGTCAAGATCTGCCCCTCGTGAGACGAGCAGCTGAACTACACCTGTCATCCAGTCACAGCACGACACCAGCTGGAGGCGGCAGGGAACCCATCCTCCCATGAGCGGCTGCCACGTGCAGGGGTGTGTCTCCCTTCTCCGAAGCAGCGTTGCTATCGGCTCCCTGGTCCAGGAGGATGCGGCAGATCGCCGTGCTGCCTGCCTGCAAGGAGGAGGGATTACTCGAGGCGACGTCATCACATTCTCCCTACCGAGGCTGCCCAGTGCAGAGGAAAGTTGCTCCTTGCATCCTGCACGTTCACCGCTACACCCTCCACCTTCACTCAGTCTCTTCGTCTCCACAGCATCATCAGCATACCTGCGCTAACATGCGGCAAAGTTTCTCCATCTCCCCCCGAGCTACCGCAGCAAACAGTTCTGTGCTCGTGTGAGAATCAAGACAGTCCAACCTGCCCCTGCCCCTGCCCCTGCCCTCGCCCCCCCTTCCCCTGCTCCTGAAGATTCACCGTTGGTATCGTTAGGCTGAGACGATTCGGAGCTGGCACGGAATGAGAAACGAGCAGGTAGGAGGAGACCTGGACCTGGTTGAGACTGTCTGCCTGAGATCGCAGAGCAAAGATCGTTTCTGCACATCCTTGACATGCTCGACCCATCCTTGCATCGACTCCGCGTCACCACAGAAGATATATTTCTGCTCCTGAAATTCCAGGTCAAGCAGGGAAAGGCGAGAGACTGTTTCCATCCTTTACCTTCTCGCAGATGTTCGCTATCTCCTCCTGCAAGTTCTTGAACTTGTCCGCCTTGCTGTTGTCAACCTTCTTCTCTTCGACGTCCTCCGCTCCGTCTCGCTTGCTCGCTCCATTCTCCTCTTTCTCTTTCACGTCTCTGCAGAGAGCTTCAAATGGTTTCATCACACCCAAGGAGTTACTGCAGTGCGAAGGGCTCGTGAGAGAAGTCGGATGCTCGCGCCTCAAGAAATTCGTCCAACTTCGACTGCAGCCCATTCAGAAGTCCGAGGGAGCGAAAAGAAAGAGACAGATACGGGACGGAGAGAAAAATGTATGGGAGGCATGGCGAGTGGAGTGAAGGAAATTAGAGAAAGGGACATATGGAAGGAAGAGATAAGGAACATGGAGGAAAGGGACAAGAGACGAGGAGCAAGGGACACAAGGGATGATTCAAGTGAGATAGAGGAGACAGAGATAAAGAAAAGGAGACATCGTCTCAAAGACAAACTCACATTTCCTAGCGTCTGCTTGCAAGGGGGTTGACCACCATCGCACCAAGAAACATGAGAAGACCCTTGGAGTACATTCAGGGCAAGGAGAACGAGTAAGACTCAATTACATTCTGATGCCGGGATGAAACTGTATCTATAATTACACCACTTATACCTGAAACACAAGACATGTTAGTTCGATCTATGTTACATCTGACAAGGAATGTTTAACCTGTGTCCTGTCTTTTGCGTCCCTCCCTTACAGATCACTATCACGCCATGCCCGACTTTACATATGTCTTCGTCTATCGTCAACTTCCCGCTACATCCCGCAGTCTGACATTCAAACGTCTGAATCTTCGACAGGCGTTCGAGAACTCCCGAGTGTTCTCTGCACGAAGGAGTCAGCGAGATCTTCGGCCCTATGCGTGTTCCTAACCTTCCATTCGCAGCTGTGATCAACGAATGTGGACATTATAAGTCAGTCACAGGACCACCACAAGACACACCATCATCAACACTTTCATACCATGCTCCTCGTTGTCACCGGCGCTGATAAACAAAACCGTCATTGGCACGTCAACGATCGAGAGTCACCTCGGTGTTGCACCTTGATTCGACGGAGCTCGTGTTGGCGCGCGCTTCTACTGATGCTTCATCCTTGTCTGGAGCGCGCACAATCATGACCAGCATGGAAGCAAAGAGCCATACCGTGCTCGGGACGGTGAGAGGTCATCGTTTCCGTTGTCTCAGAAGGATCAGAAACTTTCTGGAGCACACGATCTAGCATCAGAGACGACGTTGCAAACGTCTACGGCAGACCAATCTCTTCGAGGGCTGTGTGTTGTCTTCTGCAGCTGAAACCTTGTCTTCAGCTGAAGCCTTATCATCGTGGCTGATAGTAGTTGTGGCTGCAGCGCCGTCATCTGCCATGACGCAATGGCCGAGAGCCTAGATTGAAAGCATGCCATCAATTCAAACTTCCGACCAATCTCCTGCTTTTCTTCCTTTGTCACTTGCACTGTCTCTGATTTGTCTAAATGTTGTTAGTCTATCGGTTGCTCTTGCCGGTACTTTCCTGAATTCTGATTCATACCTCCTCCTCGTCCTCCTCGTCCTCCTCGTCCTCGTCCTCGTCCTCGTCCTCCTACACATCATCCTATCTTAATCATTCTCCTGGCTTGTTGCCTCATCATTCTTTCGCTCTCCTCTAAGTTTCTACGTTGTTTCCTCCTCTTCCATTCCTCTCAACATGGTCAATTCCATTGTATGAAACGGGAACGCAACGGAATACGTAACGTATAGAGTCCCGGGCCCGGGCCGCAGGCCCCGGGTCGCCGCCGACCTGGCCGGTCCAAAGTGCGACATCTAAAGTTTTAACTTAAAACTTTGAGTAAAAACTCTACTGTCAAGCCTTGATTGTCCTCGTACTGATTTTTAACTTAACTTTGAGTAAACTTGTTTGACTTTTTTAAAAAAGTTTGCTCCAACAAGGTTTGATCTCCCCAGCAGATACTCTATGCCGCGATTGCTCGCACCCCCTCCTCCTCTCCTCCTCCTCCTTGTGCTACACCTCGGATGCTGCTCCTGTGAATCTGGTCAGCATCACTGCTCGCACTGCACGTGTCTTTCTGAGGTCTCCTGACTGCCAGTGTTCCCCTGGGACAACGCCTCCATCGCTGTTCAACCATGCGTTCTGAGCAAGGATTGGGACCTGATCATCCGGCAGCTCAGCGGCTCCAGACCACAGTCAGATCAGCAGCTCCAGACAGGAGGACTCGGACAGCTCGCGAGCAGAGGGAGGTCAGAGCAGAAGCCCGATTGATTGAAGCACTAACACCCAGTTGTTTCTGTGAAGCAGATTCGAGGTCTGGGTTTGTGACTACGAGAGCGACTGCGTTGCGAATGTAGTTGATGCAGCTTGCTTTGTGTATGATGAAGAAAAGAAACTTTTTCTAGCCTGGGGCTTCGAGTCATCGCTCGATCTTTTATCGGTATCCTTTGTTCTATCCTACACCAGCTGACTGAAATGCACTCTAGAGCAAAGCTGAAAGCAACACCTCAAGCGTTAGACCTCTTCTGTATCCTCCTGCTCCTCTCTCTGCTCCTACCTCCACCATCTCCAGCGCTGCGTACGGCAACGGCATCTACCGTGTCACCTCCTCTGGTGACTATTCCGACGGGACTGAGTACGCCTGGAGCGCCTTCGACTTCATCAGCAACTCGACGACCATCAACTTCTGGACCACCTACACGCACAGCTACTACTCCTTCTCGACAGGCCAGTACGTCAGGTACCCTCCTACCGTCACCTCCACAGGCATCTCGTGCGCAGGTGAGTGGCTGCAAATCTCGCTCCCAGTCTCCATCTACCTCTACAAGTACGAGCTGTACACGCGGGCCAACAACTTGTTCCGAGGGCCGAAGAGGTTCTGGATCCTCGGCTCCAACGATGGCTCGACGTGGTCAGTGGTCGACTACCAGGAGGGAGTGACTGGGTACACGAGCGCAGGGAAGAGCTTTGTCGTAGAGCCGACGCAGAAGTACAGCTACTACCGGATCGTGGTGAACGAGAACAACAAAGAGAACTGGGTGAGCATCAGCTGGTGGAAGCTATGGGGAGCAGAAATTCAGGGACATGAAACTCTCCTGTATCCTCCTGCTCCTCTCTCTGCTCCTACCTCCACCATCTCCAGCGCTGCGTACGGCAACGGCATCTACCGTGTCACCTCCTCTGGTGACTATTCCGACGGGACTGAGTACGCCTGGAGCGCCTTCGACTTCATCAGCAACTCGACGACCATCAACTTCTGGACCACCTACACGCACAGCTACTACTCCTTCTCGACAGGCCAGTACGTCAGGTACCCTCCTACCGTCACCTCCACAGGCATCTCGTGCGCAGGTGAGTGGCTGCAAATCTCGCTCCCAGTCTCCATCTACCTCTACAAGTACGAGCTGTACACGCGGGCCAACAACTTGTTCCGAGGGCCGAAGAGGTTCTGGATCCTCGGCTCCAACGATGGCTCGACGTGGTCAGTGGTCGACTACCAGGAGGGAGTGACTGGGTACACGAGAGCGGGGAAGAGCTTTGTCGTAGAGCCGACGCATAAGTACAGCTACTACCGGATCGTGGTGAACGAGAACAACAAAGAGAACTGGGTGAGCATCAGCTGGTGGAAGCTATGGGGAGTTGAGACTGCCCAAGATTTTCTTAGACTGACTCGCAAGAGAAGAGCTGTCGAGTACTGAAACACGAAGATGAAGCCTTGTTGTCTTTTAATTGAAATTCCTGTCATTTGTAAGCAAATACTTGAACGCTCGCGTTTTAATCTCAACGATGATGATGGTTAAAGTCACTGAAAGTCTTCACGCGACCTCGGGCGAGAGACGTAGAATCTCTCTCACATTGGAGGATCCATCCTGCAGGAAACATCATAGTCACTTATCATGAAGAAGAAAAAGGTGACTGATGGCGATGATTGCGATTGTAGTGCTTGACATGCCCAGAATGATGATGAGAGTGATGACAATATGTAAAGCCCACCTGTATGAGAGCAACTTGCTCCAGCTTTCTTCTTGGAAGCAACTTCGCAACCTGCGCCTCGAACTGTCTGGTGCTTCCTCCGACCCCTGCAGCCTCGTTACGAGGAAGAAAGTGAGCACAAGACAAGGCAAGACCGAAGTAATAGCTCTTTGCTGCTATGTAAGCAACGCCGTCGGGTTTCAGGATGTCGTCGATGCATGCTATGAGTCGCCCAGAGCTCTTGTCGTCGTAGATGGTCTCGGCAGTTAGAATAACATCATACACCTGTCAGAACAAGCTCAGGCATCAACACTTGCATCTTGCCTCTCTCAAACGCTTCTCACCTTCCCAGTGCATGCCGCCAAAGACCCCCAATCTCCAGAGAAGTACCGAACAGCGCTCGGAGTGTTGGGGCAGTTGACGAGGACATTCAGGCAGCACACCTCTTTCAAGACCTCCTCGTTATAATCTTGAAAGTCTACATCTGCTCCCTGTGCTGGCTGTGTTAGAGACGATCAAGATCGTCCATCTTCATCTCACATCGCAGAGCATCTGAATGCCAGGGAGTCCATGCCCACAACCGAGCTCGATCACTCTCTTCCCTTTGACAGGGAGCTTCTCTTGCACCAGGTATTCTATCAGGTCCAACGATCCCTCCCAGACCTGTGCATGTGTTGGCAGACAGCCGAACAGAAGGTAAGTTTGCTGTCACCTTGAAGCCTCCTTCATACACTCCCGACGCCAAGTCCGACTTGTCGATCACCTCGGCTATGGGGCCCTCAAGACTCTCTGAGTTGGGTGGACGGCAACGTTTCAACGGCTCTCTGTTACGGAAGTGCATCTCCTCAAACAGCGCCTCGATCGCCATCTCGTCCAGCTCTTCTTCCTTGCCTTCAATCTTGACCTCCTTTGCTACGAAGTGCCCTTGCGGTGTGATTCTGAGGGCAGATAAAGACTCTACTGCGCTCGAAACTTCATCGTCGTTGCTGCCAAAGTTGAACTTGAAGCCAGCATCTGTCCCGCTCTCTGCACCCGACGCGGCAAAGTTGAACTTGAAGTCCATTGCGGCTGCTGTTGATGTCAGGACTGCCAGTCACACCGGCCTTGTTGACTCTCCAACTTACAGAAAGTCAGGGGGAGGTGGAGCAGGAGGAGCGCAAGACCTGCTGTCAGTGTCTTCCTTGCTATCAGTGTGTTTGTCGTTGTGTGTATGCTTCTCGCTCTCCTCCCTTCTCTCGCTCCTATCACCGACCTAGGTCAGCCATCGCCATTGCCATGAACACGTGCGGTCTTTTCCCGGTAGGGTACTCACACTACCCGTGTTATAGAGTGAAAAATGTCTCTATGAAACAGGGTGGGTGATCCGGGGTAATTGGGGGTGGTGTCCAATAGTGTTATTGACTGGACGCATTGAATGCAACATGGTGAACTTGGCATGACCGGGCATCATCGCGTTCAGCATGTCCTCTAGCGTGAAGACGAGTCTCATGCTCACCCTCCGATCCTGATGTTCGAGAGAAAGCTCAGATCAGGCACGGCGATCTTTCTGTGCATGTGCTTCACGTTGGGGAATGAGGATGTTGCCTCCGAAAGGGTTCTCCCCTCCTTGCAACACGACCGAGTCATCCAGCAGCTTGAGAGTGCCATTTCCTCTGATTTCCTCAAGAAGAAGGCTGAGATCATGAACTGGAAGGCCTATGGCTCATTGCGAGTGTGGGACACGGACGTTCACATCTGTCAGTATGTGAAACCCGCTCTCCGGGGTATCGGGGGAGTGATCAAGAGCAGGTGGGGAGATTTCAGAGTAACAGAAAGGCGGTTGGAGGATAACTCTTGCGCTGAAATTACGGACCTGTCATGCCAAGTGAAAGGAGAGCGAGGGAAGTTCCTGAAGTTTGTGCTGTACAAAGCGGGAAGGGATACCTTCGAGATGGTCAGGAGGTTGGCGCAAGAGCTGGGGCTGACGACGCAAGACATCTCGTTTGCGGGGTTGAAGGACCGGGGAGGAATAACACAGCAGGAGCTCTGCATTGAATCTCGTCTCGCTTCTCCGGAGAAAGTAAGAGGCAGAGGGTTTTCTCTGATTCGTTGCTGCCATTCACGCTCTGATGCAGATCCTAGCTCTCAACGGCGTTTTCAAACGAGTGCTGGTGAGAATCTGGTCGTTCCTGCAAGGACTGTCAGTGTATGATGTTGTCTTGTTGCTGCACAGGTTGGGAACTTCATGTGGAGCAGCCACGGGCTGCATTATGGCGAGCACTCCGGAAACACGTTCTCGATTGTGGTCAGGCACATAGAGACTGATCTGGAGATGACGAGGAAAGCGGTGACACGACATGATTCATGATGGATGCATGTAAGAAATGATCTCAACACGTGGAATCAGGTTCGTAAATGGAAGAAGCATGGGTTCTGCAACTACTATGGCCATCGTAAGTTCAAGTTCAGTATGATATAGAACGATATAAGAATGACATCTTCTGTTGCTCAGAAAGGTTTGGAATCAATTCTGCATCTGGTTTTCGCAACTTTGAGATTGTAGAAATGTTGTAAAAATTTCTGTAGGAATTCCTTCAATTGAAGTCGGACGAGCTCTCGTGAAAGGTTGAAAGTTTAAGTTTATTGCACAGAAATTTTCCTCTCATGCAGAGTCCGGTGCTGGTCTTTTACAGGTCATTTCCGAGTCGCTGTAGACGCTGTATTGGATCCAAGGTGAGATGGGAGTGAAGTGCTTGTCTAGCCTGAATCTTCCATCAGCTTTGCAATTGGCCACGAAGAGCGACAGGCGAAGGAACGATGGATGAATGGGTGAGCATTCAGAATGGATTTGATGACATGATTCTTGTTGTTTGCTGTCAGAGTTTGTTCTTTTGAGACATTCTGGAGTTGCTTGTATTTGTTTGTTTTGACCTCGTGCTCGTCAGGAAGAACTTGAAGTCTGCAAGCGAAGCCCTTCGAGAAATGCCGTTTGAATGTGCAAACGAGAGGTTTGTCTTGCAGAGCTTGATCAAGTAAGTGGTTCATTGAGAGATGAGGAGGGAGTAGGATAGAAAAAATGAGCACAAGGGAGAAGAGGGCAGTGGGAAGTAGAGGAGAGTAGCGATTGCAGAGGAAAGTATTGAAGCGGAGCAGAGGGAGCTAGTAAGGGAAGGAGTATAGAGGAGGGGAGGAGGTGAGAGAGAGCACAGGAAGCTTGAAATGAGTCTTGATAATGCAGACAATCCAAGGATTTGAACAACAATCGGCAGGATTTCTCAAACGACCAAATGAGAAAGGCATGCGATACCATGCCTCAACGATTCATCTTCATCCAAGTGATGTGGCCATATCCCATACTATGGCTGACATGAGTCACAGTCGTTCTGGAGCAGGCTGTGGAACGAGGCGCTGACGTTGCGCAGCAATCTATACGGGTTAAGAGGTTGTGTTGAAGGGGATCTAGTGCGATTGAGGTGTGAACTGTCTTGTTTCCTTTTCTCTTCTTCGATTTTGCTCATGTCTTGACCGTAACGTGTCAGGACGGAGAAGCGAGACGATGGAATGAAAGTGGATCATGTGCATGTTGTGACCGCAAGCGGTGAACCTTGACCTTATTCGACATCATCCAATTCTTTTTGTGCTTGACAGAAGCCAAGAACAAGAAGTTCGACATCTTTGACGTACAAAGTTTCTCCCTCACAACCTTTCATCCTTGAGCTCTTTTCTTCCAACTTACCCACACTCCTCTTGTCTCTACCAGGTTGTTCTTCCGGTCTTTGGAGCAGGAGTCGAGGTCAAGTATCCCAACAACAAGCTGAAGTATCTCATGGAGAAACTCCTTCACCGCGAGGGAGTCTTCGGGGTCGTCAAGCAGATCAGGAAGAAGGCAGGAGTCCTTCTCCCTCAGCGCGTTTGTTCTTATCGTTCTATTGTGACAAGACCCAAGGTAAGGATGAAACAGACCGATCGTCCTCCATGTCGTGAACTGTTGAGCTAGAATGTCTCCTACAAGTTCATCAACTATCGCCCGGGTCAGCATGACCTTCAGGTCAGTCAGCTCGCTGCTTCCATCCTCCCTCACTCGTCATCAGACTGTCCACTCGTGCGGGGGCGGGGACATTCGAATGGACAAGAACACTTCCAACCTCGTCTATCAGCACCCGACAGTGGGGAGGAACTCGAAGCGGAGGGCGTCGGTGGACGAGGAAGGGATGAAGCTGAGGATCAGGACAGAGGAAGGTGGAAAGGAGCAGCAGTACAGGTGGAATGCGTTGTGGATCAAGTTCACGCTCGATCCCGGGTCGTTCGCAACGATGAGTCTGCGGGAGCTGATGAAGACGAGCACGCACCCGTCCAGGATGTACCATCTGCGCAAGGTGATAAGAGAGGAGGGAGGAGGGAGCTGATCTCTTAACGCCTCAGCTGTACGAGCTGGAGGAGGAGGGGCAGGAATGGGATCTTCTTCTCCGTCCTCTCGGTAACAGGAATATGAGGTTGTACTCCTTGCTGTCCTGCTCTTCACTATGCCGCTCAGAGCTCCGAACCTGACCTCTCCTCCCTCTCAGTGTACTTCTGGACCCCGACAAGTTCATCGAGGAGGCTGTTAGTCGAGCACTTGCTGAACGGATGGGCAGTGTGCAAGCCTGACGGACACTCAGAAGTTTGGGGGACAGCAGTCGGCAGGATTGGGTTTGGTTCTCGCTGTCTTTCTCTTCTCGCCGTTTGGCCTGTGCGACAGTGTCTGGGTTTTAACTTAACTTTGAGTACATACATGTCTGGGGTCAAGCCTCCCGGCGACTCTCCTGATTGTCCTCGTACTGATTTTTAACTTAACTTTGAGTAAACATATTTTAGACACTCAGACTCAAACCGTCACTGCCGCTGAGGCGGCCGCCAGACGGGGCGGGCCGCCGCGCGGCTCCGAGTGCCACCGTGGCTGCACTGCCCGGGCCCGAGGCTCAGTGTCCGGGCTGTCCGCCTGCCAGGCCGCCCGGCCGCTGAGGAGTGATCGGAGTGCGCATGACTCAGTGTGCCACTGTACTACCGTACGGTAATACGGTAGCACCGGCACCGCCGCGTGACGGTGCCTGGGTCGGACCCAGTCGGCCCCCAGTAGTCAAAGTCAAGGCAGTCTAAACCCTAATAAGCCCCCCCCGCAGTGCCGCGGCCAACCGTTGCCAGGCCGGGCTTCGAGTCACTGCCGGCCGGCCGGGCTCACTGAGCCAACCGTACGGTCGGTTCAAGTTTGGAACTCTGGACCGGGTCCCAACTTTTGAACTTCAGAAGTTTGGAGGTCGAGAGTTGAAGGGTTACGTGTGGCTAGAAAAAGTTCTTCCCCCGATAGCCCGAAATAGATCACGAAATGGTAAGCGAGGCGACTCTTGCATGCGACCGCGTTCTCCTCGCATTCGAATGCTTGCGCGGTTGAGAAGAGGACACTGTCTTCTCGTGCTGATGTGGGTTGTGCATGTTCATATTCTGGCTAAATGTTATTCAACCATGTGGGAAATTCGTAATATCCTTGTTGTTTGTCGATTTGGAATGGTTCAAGACCAGAGAACTTGTCTCGTGGTGGTGTTTGCGATCGATTTTACTTTCTCTCTTGCAATTTGGCTCTAATCGAATGTTTCAGTTCTCTCTCTTGGCTCAGACCCGTCAGTCTCTCCTCAGCATCGGCTTCCCCGATGCGGCTGCTGCTCACCGCACTGACGCTTACTGGGAGGTACAGCCGAGTAAACCTTGTTTCTTCGATTCTCGTTGACTTTGTGTCTTCAAGCACCCTGAGGAGAGCACGACCCCCAGCCACGATGGTCAGGGCACTGGCAGCGATTTCTTCGGCACCGTCTGGCATCCTTCCTTCGGATACGTCAACAACTGCGATGGTGGACGCAGCCACACCTACTGCGATTATATGCAGCAGTAAGTGAGTCATGACTAGTCGTCATGCACAGACACGACTAGCACCGATCCTTGTTGTCTTTGTACAAAAGGATGTTCTTGTCTAACACTGACAGTGTTGGTCGAGCCTGTAAAGGGCCTTACGCCTTTCCTGTTTGCTATTTGTATCCAATAAACTGGAAATCACGACATCTTGTGCTGCATCGAAGTACCGATCATGCATGAAAGAAGTTGAATTCGGAATGCTGGTTCCTGGCTACTCTCTGGACACGCATGTGTGTCAAGTCCCTTCCTCATGAATTCATCGATTTCAAGGAGACAAGGGATCCCCGGGTTAGAGTTGTATGGTTGGCATAGCAAGAGTCAACATGTTCCGAATATTCTGCAATCTTATGCACTATGCAGAGTATGAATCAACATGTGTGAAGAAAATGACCTCAAGTATGCATTTACGTATCCATGACTAGTTTGCATTTCGAAACCGTAACTCCCACTGGTTGGGATATGTATTCGTATTTTACCGCCTGACGGGTACACATACCATGTTTTTCGTTCTCAATACGATCTTCTAGTCCAAGAACGGACCGCCGGTGAGCTGCGAAGACGTCGTTAGGACGAATTGATTGGTTATTGCAAACAAGAGAAACATACCTTTGCCACGCACTTCAAGCGGTTAGTGAGGTACTGTCAATCCTGTCACTAACAATGCAAGAAGCACAAAGACGTTCACTCACAGAGAATTGAGATACGCAGTAGTCAATCCTTCCCTTGTTCTTGTAGATGTTGGTCCACGTTCTGTGCGAAGCGCCAAGGGGAGGCACATACCCACTTGGCGGTTCTGGAATACCTTCGAGTTTTGTTCTCATGACCTGCACAATTACGTTCAATCGAGTTGAAAACAGCATCTTGGCGAATTCAAATCAATGCTCTAAAACCTCACAACCGTACTAGACGACCACACCTGCAGGGGATGGCTATTTACTAAATTCAACCTCTTCACTTGCTTCAAATGTTTGTTCCTGTGGTATTCAAAGCATAAGCAGTTGAAGTTCACTGCCCAACTATTCTCTCCTGATCTCGCAACCACGACGAAAATCTCTCACGACCGATTCTGGTTGGTTTAGTTACCTCTTCTCTTCCACTTCCACATCAGGTTAATTTCATGGCCTCTCTCTACATTCTACAAATGCATACTACTCTTTGTTCTACTGTGAAATACATAGATGTAGGATTCTCTGTTTCACTATCCGCCTATTTCATGGAAGTTGGAATGATTTCAATTTGCCCCCCGGATGTATTACCCATGCGTCAGACTACATTGCTCAGCATTCAGGTTTCAACACTCGGAGTTCACTTCGACGTCTATTGTTCATTCATCTTTTCCATCTTCCCTATGTCTCTTTCTTCGTCGAGCAGATGCGAAAGGAGCCTACAGCATTGCCGATCTGCAATGTCCTATCGCCTCCGTTGCCTGCATCATCATACCCCCACCCATTTGGGATAAATTTGGATAACATCCTGTTTATCTTTGAAATCATCTTATGAGAAATTTGAAATCGAAGAGCTCAACTCTAGTCGACACCAATTCTAAAACATTCCTGAAATTTCTACACCCCTGTCAACACAGAGTACCCTACCCTCTTTATTGATGGCATCTACCCTCAAATGTTGCCTGTACCCCTTCTAATTACTATTTCCATACCACCCTACCCGCCCGCAAAGGCTCGGTGGAACTGGCAAACACAGCTGACCCCTACTCCCTGGTTCCGCCCCTTCGCACTGCTGTCAATCACCCACCCCCTACCCTCTAATTCTTCAACAAGACCATTCTTCTGCATGCCCCTACGATATGGTAGAGGTATTCCCAATTGAGATCATAGGTATAGAGGACTCTCTCAATCCCATGTCACATTCAAGTAGAAATTCAAGACCCCCACCCCTCTCTGATACGATGGGAAATTCTGTCACTTTGGGAAGGGTCACGCCCGGGCCACCGCCGCTTCAAATAGTCTCACAGAGTCAGTATACATGCCCGGCCGGCCGCCCGGAGTCGGCGAGGCGGCACTGCGGCGGCGGCGCCGGGCCCAGCCCGGCCGCGGCCCGCCGGACCGGCGTCGGACTCCTCAGTGGTCAGTCCGGGACCGGAACTTTGACTCTCCGACCGAAGTTCCGAAGTTCCGAAGTTCCGAAAGGGCCGCTCACGGTCTGAGGCTGCCACTGACGGACCCGGCGCCGCCGCCATATTGGGATTCAGGGGGCTGCACCGGTATATGAAATTCCAGGATTACTGATTAGCGCTTTCAATGACCGGTACTTTTGACTGCTCATATACGGGTACTTACCCTCGCACAGAAGCACCCTTTTACCCCCATTATCATCTAGTAATAGGGGGTGGGGTATTTGAATTGTCATGGGCGGTAACCTTCAAGACCACCCCACTCCCCTCGAAACTTTTAACAGACGACATGTTTTAAGGCTGCGAAAACGTTTTAGAAGGATACGGATAATCATAAAATAAATATAAATTGGAAACACAGTAGAAAAGACTTAGAAATTCAATACTAAGGTTCGAAAATATTTTGTGCCTGATTCAAATTCATTGTGTACTGTGTTTCTGGGTTTAGTACAAGAATGAAGTCACCGGGTCCTTTTCTGCTAGTGCTTTCACAAATAGGGGGTAGGGTAGTCCCCCCTGTTCCCCACCCATCCCTATTTCAGGGATTTGAATTTTTTCCACAGGCCAGTCGCCACGGCACAAGTTGAGAGACATGTCAGTGGGATCTTGAAATTTGGCCTGGCATTTTGAACATTAAAACATTGATTAACCATGTCAGGACCAAATCTATCAAATCCGTCATCCCCACCTTTGCAAGGAAGTTCGTGCAGACGTCGCAAACAAACGATCACCCTGGAAGACGATGAATTGCTCACCTGGGAGTCTCTGGCAAGTCGAGCGGGCTTCCTCTATAAACAAGGAAAATGGCAAGGACAACCTAATGTCAATGCTTGCCTGAAGGCCATAGGTTTGAAAAGAGATTATTTGTATAATTCAAATCTTTGTAACACCTGAGATGCAGGTAGATCTCCTGAGTTGTTGCTTCGAATCTTACAAGAGTATGAGGAGCAGAGAGGTTTTAGTCATCATGTGGATGAAGCCATACGCGAAGGGATTATTTCCGACTCTGATGAACCAATTCCGGCTTGTTACGATTCTATCAAAGATCCAAAAGTGAAAACAGCGATTCTGAAGAAGATCCAGGGTGACACTGATGAGGACCTTCTAGATGTGGTCACGAAGAAGGTAGATCGGCACTTTGCGTCACACAAGGCCAATTGTCGAGTGAAATGGGGACATTTTGCTGATCTATTTCACCACCAGTGTGAGGATGACTCTGGACAGGAAGCGGCCGAGGGGCCTCGAAAGCAGAAGAAGTGCAAAACTTCGAAATACGATAGCCTTACGTTCTTTGAAGGCATTCTGAGCAGTCAAGCCTTCAAGACAGTCATAAAAAATGAACTTGCCACGAATAAGGAGCTTCAAAACTGCCTGAAACCTGCGGTCAGGCAAATGATGCCGAGCGCGCGAGAGGCAGCAGTTGCCCTGACAGCAAACGGTATAACGAAATCGCAGTACCAAGGATTCTGTCGTGCAAACGATAGCATGGCTGGCTGCTTTATTCCAATGCCAAAAATATCACGGGTTAGAGTACAAGAGAAGCATGCGATGTGCGAAAGATTCAAACTGTTCTGTTTGCCAGATGGGACACATTGTCTCGGCCTCCTTCAACTTGTCGAAGAGTGGATTGATATCTTCAAACTTCACGGGAAGCATCGCCTTGTTATCACGATCAACTATGACTGTGCAACAATGACTTTCTCGGCTGGCAATCCTCAGAAGGCAACTGAAGTCACCATTTCCATTTTCCCTTACGGCGTAGACTGTTCGAAGAAAGAATGGAAATTCTGGCAAAAGCTTGTCCGAAGTTCATCATGCCTTATGACGATGTCCTACATTCCATATGGAGACAGTCCTGAGGTTTTTCAGAGGACTGTGAGAGCTGCATATGATCAAGTTATTGATCTCTTGAAGGAGAAAGGTATTCACGTCTACAACAATCAAGCAGTCGGGGGACTTCAAAAGACTTTAGCAGGTGGTAAGCCTGACAAGATTATCCAAGTGGAGTTCGTCAAGAGATCTGATTTGCAAGGGCAATGGAATATGTACGGCATTGGTGGAATGTCCGACAATGAGGGTAAGTTCTGTCTCCACTGTAACGAACTCCTAAAAGATCACAAGGCTGGCAAATATTTCGAAATCGAAACAATCGTTTGCGACGAAACTCTGTCCCAAGTGTGTGAAAGACTAGTCATGTCTACCGAGGGCATCAAGAAATTAAACAGAATGTTGAAAAGTCCCGATGCTTTCCAACGAATGTTCGATACCTCGGAAGGAGAATTCCAAGAGTTATTAGCTGAAGAAAATCAGACTCGACTGCAAAATTATCTGCAAGACCCAGAATTGATCATGGAAATTGGAACAAAGATCCCAGTGATTCGTCTCATTGAAATGGACAGATGCAGCGGCGAAGCAGCTTGTTGCTCGTTTCATGCTTTCATAAGAACGACGAACATGATTATTGGTTGCCTCCAAGAGAAAGCGGCGCAGATGAGAAAGGTCGCGACAGTCAACCTTCGATTACAAGAGCAAGGAGTGAATGTGCAATTCACTGAGAAGTCTCATAATAGAAAATTGAACGGGGAACAATGTGCCCGATTCGTCAAAAATGCCGCAGTGGTTATCAATACCCTTTACAGCGATCCTGCCTATGCAGATGACAGAGAACAATGGACTCAAGTAATGCAAGAATGGGACTTGCTAAGCAGCATGCTGAAGTGTCAAGAAATTGAAAAAATTGAAAACCTGAATTTTGAAATCGGTTTGACCGTTCCAGTAAGATTGAGAAATCTCATGCTCAACATTATCGATCTGGTTGGAGATCCTACTTTGATGCAGTCATTCTACTTCCACTCGCTCCTTGTTGGGCACATTGGCCAACAATTCTACGACCGTTTGGTACAATATGGGATCCCTCTTGGATTACTGAACATTAGTAACGTCGAGAATCGCCACAGACATTTTGGAAGACCTTCATATCTTCAAGTCCAACCAGAGGTGAATGCATTCGTCTCAAAGAAACGTCGCCGTGAAGGAGAACATGAACCTTTGATGGAGTCGCGCCAAGCAGCCTGGTCTTACTACGCCTTAGCATCGCTGAGCATGGTAAGTTGGTTCAATTTAGAACGCAAAGCAAAACAATTACAAGTGGTTTTGAATAGTACATAAATGAAAATTTTATTTCTGTGCTATCTTTGGCGCGGATGAGCTTGCCACGACTCTTGAAATGGACTTGGTAAGCCGGCCGCTATAAACAAACTATTTGAGAGGAGGAAACCTCCACATTTCTTTTCCAGTCCAGCCGTAACGATAGATCTTAGAAAATCTGAAAATGAGCAACCCAGCCTCATTAGCAGTTTTCTGTCTTCGTAAGCTGATTGTCACAGGCCCCTCCACGTAAATACTACCAGTCCCATTTGGCAACCGTAGTTGTGAATCATGAAAGGGTATAGTCAAGTGCTTTTGCAAAACAGAGGTTCTTAGATATGTCTCAGGAATTACCCAATAGCATGTTACCAGGCTACTTTTGCTAACAGTGGAACACTTAATTGCCTCTGCTTCAAGATTGGGATCGGTTTGCATAATCTCAGAAAAAAGGAACAGCATTGCACGCATATCCTGTATCTCCACATTGAATCTCAAGGGAGCTTCTTTTGCTGCAGCAAGACAACGAGTCTTTGGTTTTCCTCTCAGCTGCAGCCACTTGTTCAAACTGCGTCTGATCGATTCCAATTCCCAGTGAAGTTCAATGGTATTTGTAAGTTGAAGCAGAAGAGTGACATCGACAAAGTTTTTCAGTTGCTGGGGTAAAACCGTCATGGTATTGAAGTAAGAAAATTGACATTCTTGACTTTTGCGTCCTGGCATTCCGAAGTACAACCACCCAACGATCAGTAAGCTATTGCACCGCATAGTCCTTACAGAGAATTGGGCATAGTTCAGCAATACAGTTTCCTGAATGTCTTGCAATGGAACTTGGTCCGTGTAGATGCTCTGCAAGCACTCATGATCATCAAGGCTAGAGATGAATTGCGTCAAGCGAGCTCCACTCAAGACATTGGTTTGTACTTGTCTCAATACATCCTTGGTGTAAAGAATGTAAACATCTACATGACTCTCGGTTACTTTTCGTATCATACCATGCCGGAGTTGTTTGTTGACGTCCAAGAACGAGATTCCCATACTTGGTTTTAGAAATTCGCGCTTTTGCGATTCTCTACTACCACAAAGCACAAGTTGAGGAGCGTCAGTGTCTTCCTGAAATAACATCCGAGAGAAGAAAAAAGGGATTTTGATCATTTGAGGTACACAATCTCTCTCAAGCTTCCGAGTTTCCCCGTCATCATCCATCACTAGCGTTACCCTTCTGATTTTCTCCCTCCCTTCTTGGGCGGCAACTCTTGAAATGCGGGGAGAACGCATGTTGGAGGGGCGGGGGATGGTTGGAGGGACGGGGGATTGGTTGGAGGGGCGGGGGATGGTTGGGACTAGGAAGCCGCCAGACCTCGTCGAGAAGGTGAAGAGCTTCATGAAGCGTTATCCCGAATAGTAGGACAGCTTATGCTTGCAGAGCTGAGGGGGGGATGCACTCCCGACGCTATCACAAAAAGCCATCCGCTTCGACAGGGGTGCTCAGGATCCGGGTCATTCAGAGGGGTTGCCAGGAGCTTTTGTACCATATATACATCCTAAAATCTCTCAAAAACAACTTTTATGTAATTACTCAAAAATCATTTCTGGTACAAAAATTCAAACCAGGCAGCCCACCCCCATCAAAGAAGGTACCCCAATTGATGAACTACTAATGAGGTGCCGGGAGCGGTGGGAAACTGCCCGGTATGGCCGGCCGCCGGGCGGGGGCCCCGCCCGGCCGGGCCCCCCGGCCCGGCCGAGCCCCCCGGCCCGGCCGAGCCCGGGCCGAGTCGGACTCCGCCACTGCGGGCCACCGTACTGAGTACGGGAGTCCGACTGGCAGGCGGCCGCGGCCGCGAAACTAAGTTGAAATCACGGCACCCGGGTGCCGGGCCCGGGCGCCGGCGGGGGCGGCCCGTGTCACCGGTGTAGGGCGGCGCGACGGTCCGATATCGGAGTCCGACTCACGGTCAACGGTACTCTGAGTCTGGCACCGTCTCACTGAGCCGCCGCGCTGAGTTCCCCGGCGGCCACCGTCCGAGGTCACCGGTGGCAGCCCCAGCCGCTCCGCCGAAGGCTCCCCGCCGCCCAGGCTTCCGACGAGTTCCGGCCGCTAGTCGTATGATCGGACCGTACTCAGACGGTGACCGTCGCCGGTCATTGTGTGATCGGACCGTCCGACGGCCGCCGTTGACTCTTCTTTACTCACCGTCGCAGTCAAGTTTAAGTTAAACTGAGATCAGAGAACTTGAAAGACAGCGAGAGTCGGAGTAGCCTGACTTAACTTTGAGTAAAAGCCTGAGTCACTGTCTGTCCGTTTACTCAAAGTCTGAGTCCGAGAATCGGATGATACTCACTTAACTTTGCGTAAAAAAATACTCATGATACTGCGAAAGGAAAGGATAGTTGGCTGTCTCGCATTCGTGTTCGAAACTGCCTTCTCCTGGATTACTAAGGCCCTGAGGATACTCTACTCCAGTGTGAGTCTGCTGAAAAGGACGAAGAGCTGAAGGGATGTTCAACATCTGAGGAGGGAAGCTTGTCAACTTCCAAGGAGAGATCACAACTCCTGCTTCCCTCAGCCAAGAGACGGTACTCCTGCCTCCTTCTTGGAAGGTAGAAAAGGATCATCCTCGTCAGAACTCGATGGTCATCTTCCCCTTTCGTGTGTGTGCCACGTCTGTTTGTGCTACACCAGTGCGTGTTGGCTTGTTTTGTTGGTTGTGTGAGAATAAAGAAAGATAGACGTCCTTTTGTCACACTGCGTTCCTCTTAGTAGAGAAATTCCAGCGCAAGTTCTTATTGAGCTAAGCTCCAAGTTCATCCTGTCATGACCAGATGAAAGGTGAGCTGTTTGATCGACAGCATTTCCATCATTGCTTTGAAGGTATTTTCATACTAGTGAATTTAAAGGAAAAATGCAGCATAATTGTAGCTGCCGATCATGGGAGAGGAAGGCCCGGGGGGGTGGGAAGGCAGAGGGTCAGAAGGAAGGAAGCGAAAGTTCGGTGGCAAAGTTTTGGGTCTGGGGAGGGAAAGGCAAACGCACAGAGAGAGGCAGAGAGCAAGAGGAGGCAGAGGGAGTCAGAGGGATGTAGTGCAGCAAGACAATATGGCACACATGGAGTAAATGTGTCTTTCTTGGATGTAATGGGGGCGAATGGCCGAGTGGAGGGAAGAGGTAGAGGAAGGGAGGCAGTAGGAGAGGGGGCGGAATAGGAGGTACACAGACAGGTTCAGCATGGCACGGGACCTGAGGGAGGTTGTCAGCCTTTGCACGGGCCCCAGTCCCTGCATGGCTACTACACGACTTCGTCATGGATGATTACCTCATGTTATCCTTCTGGAGTTTTCTTCATAGGAGTAAAGCTAGTCTGGAGATACATCGTTTCAAATAGGGATGTACTTGGGACCCTATAAAGGACTCATCCTTTGGGAAATTCCTGTAGTAAATTACTTGGTGACACTGTTGGCCGAGCAAGGCACGGCCCCCGTGGATTGCATCGGATGCCTCGACCGACAACACATGCCACCGGGCAGATCGCGGCCGGTCCAGTGGCCGTGCAGTGACCGTCCCGGGTGCCCTGGCACCGTGGGGCGCCCCGCGGACTCGGCCAGTTCGGAGTCTGCCATCGGACCGGCCCGGCCCGTACTCAGGACGGTGTGACTCGGCCACGGTCCGGGCCGCCGCCCGGCCGGCCCGCCGGGCCGTTGAACTTGTGACAGGCTGCACTTAACTTTGAGTAAAGCAGCAGTCACCGTCCCGCGGCGAGTTGACTCTTGGAAAGTTCAAGGTACGGGCCGCACAGGGCCTGGCCGGCCGACACCGGGTCCGTCACCCGGTCGGCCGGCAGTGGCCGCTGCTGATCATCTTCATCGGATCCGACTCTCCACTGAGTGACCGTACTGACTCGGACACCGGATGAGTCATTCCAGTTTACTACACGAGATCCGGTCGCCGATCACCAGATCATGATGCCGCTGCTGTGCAAGCCACAGCCGTGCAGGCTCCATTCAAGAGTCTATCATGTTTCAATAACCGGAGCGCATCTCCATGGCTGGGGAGTACTCGGAGTGCGGGGGACCCCTCCTTTTACTAGAAGTCACCACCCCGCTCTCCCACCTCATGGACCTCATCCTAACGCTTTCTGCTGCGATGAGGTGCGAGGCGCATCCAAATCTGTCAGCATCATGCCACTTTCATGCCTCGTTTCGCCAATCGAATCGTCTGGAGCCTTCTATGAACCTTTAGGGGTTAACTGCAGGGCTTTCTTTACTACATGCACGGGACAATGCCCCGGTTGGCCGTGCCAAAGTGCAGCGCTTGAGTATGAACTGAGGAAACTGTAGCTTTTGGCAAGGGCACTCCCCCCTCTATAAAAGGCTCCACCGTCTGTTCAAGTCTATCACAACCCAGCAGCAACATTCTCCCCCCAGCATCCTCTGCTTCATCACACTTCTGCTCTGTATCACTTCTTCCTCTCACTTTCCTGTACCGCGATGCAATCTATCTCCTTTGCCAACCATCCCTTCCTCAGCGAACCTTTTGCGGACGATTTCCTCGATCAAACTACCCTGGACGATGATTGGTTCCGAGTCCCCTTGCCGGAGGCTGACCCGACTACGCTCTTGGCCGACTCTTTCTCAGACTCACCATTCGTTCCCTCCCTCATGCAGGATCTCTTTGCCTTGCACCAGAGTGATCTTCTGAGCCCTGAGCCTTCCATGATCATGAATAGCAAGATCATGGGAGACGTTTTTCAGGTCAACTGGCCGTCGGAGACAAGGAACAACTCAATTGTACATGCACATACTTCATCTGTCAGCAACACTCCTCCTTCTCGCCCTGTGCAGCGCTTCCCCCAAGCACCTGTTGTGAGGGTACAGTCCCGACAGGCTGACTTCCATTCTGATAAACCAGTGGAGATCACGCTCGAGTTGCTAGCAGAGCACTTCCACGAGAGCCTGGAGGTAGCGTCAGCAAAGATCGGCATCGGCAAATCCACGATGAAGCTGGTGTGCAGACAATTGGGCGTTGAAAAATGGCCGTACAAGTTCAACCGCAAGGGTGGAAAGAAGGTCTTGCGAAGACCAGATGGGTGCAAACATCGTGAAGAATCGTCTACCGCCTCGGACACTGATGGGTCTGAGGAGCCTATCTTCTTGTAGGGGGTGAGAGGAGCAGGCAATTCATTCCTGCACTTCTGATTGTAATTTAAATGAATGTTTGAGTCTTACTTTCGTGTTTGAAACGGTGTTGGAAAAATCGTGACATGATCAGATCGCTAATCATCCAAATCCTCAGCCTTGTCATCATTAAAGTGGTTGAGTCCAGCCCGGCGGGATAGATGAGGCTTGCCGCGCGTGGCAGGGCGGCTGAGTCACATTGTCCTCGTACTGAGTCACACCGCCGGTGCCGCTGTGTGACGGTACTAGCCCCGGCGGTGACCCGACAGTCACGGTGCCACGGTGACCGTCCCCGGCCCGCCGGACCCGGCGTGGCTGACTCAGTGAGTCCGATCGGGCCGGGCCTGAGTGCGCCGGACGGCGCGGCCCGCCGGGCCCGCCGCAGCCTCCGGGCCGCGACTGTGATCGGACCGTGCGCACGGCCGCGCCCGCCGGGCGGGCGGCCGGGCGGGCGGCCCCGCCGGGCCGGGGCCCGGGCGGCCGCCGGAGCGGGGGCCCCGGGCCGCTACGATCGGCCCTGATAGTCCACAGGCTTCAACGATCGGCGGCGGTGATCACTCTTACGGCCGCGCCGCGCAGCGGCCCGGCCCCGCGGCCCCGCGGCCCGGCCGCCGGTACCGTACCGTGCCCCGCGTAGTACTAGCCGGGCCGGCCCCCGGGGGGGCCGTACTGGCGGCGCCGTACGGTAGCCTCGACTGGCACCGGGCATAATGCCGGGCACCCGGACGCCGGTCACGGCCTAGTCAAGCCTGGCCCCGCCCGGCCGCGGGCCGGCGCCGCCCGCCGGGACCGAGTCGGCGGCAGGCTCACTGCCCAGACTCCGGGAGGCCCGGCCGGCCGGGCCCGGGCCCGGCCCGGCGGCCCGCCGGTTGGAGGCCCCGGCGGCGGCGAAGGCAGTCCAATCGGAAGTTTGTCGATGCGGCTTGTGTGGTTGCAAGAAACGATGGCAGGACGAGGGGGCCAAGGGAGGAGAAGCACGTGAAAGTCATGGCAGTGAGGCTCCACTGCAAGCTCCATGGCTGGACGCTCCCTCCTCGATCATATGGCGTTGAGTCCCGCTAGTCAGCAGGGTACCAGTGCATGCTCGTGCTTTGCAGCGCTCTAGCGTGATCTGAGCAGCAGGCGCTTGATAGAGTGCGATCCATGGCTTCAGAAACAAAGCTTTGCCTCTGTTCAATCATCCTCTCATGCCTGATCTTCTATGATGCGCATGGGGCTGATAAGTCAGAGTGGCAGCACTGGGACTCGTCAGAGTTCTACCAGGACAAGAACTATCGGCCGGAGTTTAGCCACGGGATGCCAGTAGAAATGAAGAAGATGCTACAAAACATCAAGGGAGAGGGGCGATTGTCTCGTGCTCAAAAGGCAGAAAAGAAGAAAGAGGAAAGAGAACCTAAAATCCCGAGGAAGGTATGGCAGGTGTACTGGGAAATGCCTCTCAGTAAGCTTCACAAGCGCTATTCCGAGACATGGAACAACGAGAATCCAGAGTACTCGGTTACACTCTGTAGCCCCAGACAGGCAAGGAACTTGGTAGACGAGTTCTATCCCGAGCTGTTGACGATCTACGACTCCCTCGGGCAAGAATCGCGACAGGACTTGTGGTCATATCTCATGCTGTTCAAGTTTGGCGGGACGTTCGCAACGGTCGACTGCACTTGCGAGCTGCCGCTGGATGTGATGCTTCTTCCGGACGACGACATGGTCGTGGGGTACCAGCCTAGACTTGCTTCCAAGGTGCTTCAAAGGAAGTACGGGGAGGAGCATCACGATCTGAAACTACAGAACTGGTGCTTTTCAAGTATACCTGGGCATCCGATTCTCAAGTTCATGATAGAATACATCATCAAGAACGTCAAGACTGAATACTGTAGAGATAATTTGTCTATTGACAGCCTGCTCCGCTCGGGAGCATCCCCTTTCAATGTTGCCATCGATGCGTTCGGTACATGAAAGCCCTTGCAGCAACCTGTATCCCTTGACCTATTTCCCTTCAGAGCGAAACCCTGTCGACGGCTACTCATTGCGTGTTGCAGCCATCGGATCTTATGCTCTAGGACAAGTGCTAGCTCAGTTTCTGTCCATACGATGCGTTTGACATGCGTTGAAGGTGTGGGGAAAGGGAGACGACGTTTACATACCCTGTGCCGAGAAAAGACACGGTGATTGTACCATCTGAGACTTTCGTACACTTGTTATCTTGACGTTGATGTGCAGGATTTGGCTTTTGGTTTGATGACCGCAAGAAAAAGCATGTATGCGACTGCCCAACACGGAGACAGAGGTAGAACCTCTTCGGATGCAGACCCCATATGTCTCTTTGCTCTTTCCGCCGTGAAGGGCGAAAGTAGATTGTTGACGTCTCTGAGCTACTAGTCAGGTCTCGAAATCCTCACAGGAAGAGCAACAACGGGATGGAAAGCATTGCATTTGTTCGCAGACGACACATCTACGGTGACTTCAGTCGCTTCCTACCATCTACTCTCAACCATGACGCACTTGTTCAGGTGCGGGCGTTCGGTCGCTGGTCAAGAGGCCAGAGAGAGAAATGAAGCGTATGAGGGACCAGTCACTACTGCCCGTCATGTTTGGAGCCATAAAACATTCCTAGAGGTCGTCAAGGCCGCAATGAACTTCGGAAACTAAGTGACGATTCCCTCAGTCACTAAACATCGGCGGGCTACTGCCGCCGAAGGCTGCCGCGCCGCCCGGGCCGCGCCGCGCCGCGCCGCTCAGTCGGACCGCGGCCGGTGACGCCCGGGCCAGTCGGACTCTGGCTTGGCCGGGCCGGCCCGGACGGTTCCGCCGGGAGTCACCGATTCTGGCCGACTGAGTCCTAAAAAGAAGTCAAAAACAACACACAAATTGACTGGAGGAAATGGCGGGAGACGCGAATGTAGAGGAGGAGCACTTGCGACAAGCCATGAAGATGGCGAGCAGACTCCTTGACATGTGCGGTATGCAGGATGATAGTAGACTAGCGAGTGACGACTGGGCCAGAGAGTTCCTTCTCCAACACTCGGTGATAGTCAGTAACATGCATCCTATGAGCTGAAATACCTGCCTTGAGCAGACTGTCCTCCGCCATCGAGAAGGAGCGGCGATGTTGAGAGAGAGACTTGAGCATGCTCATGTGTTGATCGTAGCCGTTCTCTTCTTGAGGGACTCCATGAACCCTCAAGAAATTCTATCAGACGAAGGACATGAAGCGAGTAGGTTTCGCCTTTCGCATTGCCATGGAATGACATGAAGCTGCAAATCCAGAAGCGAAGGCGGCAGCATTTCGCTCTCATTTCGCCTGTACCATGATGGATCTGTCTGATAGAATCCGACAGTATGCGAGGTGCTTTCCTATCGCATTGCAGTTTAGTTGTGATGCAGTGTTATAGCAACCTGAAGGGAGGAGAGTCGTTGCGGAGATGCGAACAACACAAGAGTGTGGGCGAGCTGTCGAAGAGGATATCTGTAAAAGCAGAGGACGAGCTCCTTGCTCCTGTATGCATCCATGGAACAACGAAACCTGTCTTCACCGAGAAGGAGTATTCAGCAGGTTGACAGTGTCTTGGAACAGGCTTGGTTGTGCTGATTCGTTCAATTTTCAAGAAATCAATGCAGAGCATGCAACATGGAGAGCAGCAGATGTTCTGCAAGACACCATTGCGAGCAATGCTCCAAACATCTCAGAGTCCGACTGGCAAGAAATTTGTGAGTGTTTTATCGATACGATTCAAGACCCATCTCCTGGAATGAAACCCGTAGATGCCACTAATCCTTCCTTGCTGGGACTTACAACCGTGTGAAGGAGGAAAAGACGGATGTTCTTCCAGAAAGAAGTGAACGACTTGTAGGGAGCCTTCTGCATCAAGCATACAACTCACGATCTTTTCAGATTCACAACGTTCTTGTAGATCTGCCGTTCATCCAACCCGATGAATTGTCTTCACACTGCAAGTCAAAAATGGAAATTGTAAAGCTTTTATGCTCGAAACGACAGGTGATTCTGGCAGCAATCAAGAATGAAAAGGTGGTGCATTAGTCAGGATCTTGATCTATCTGATTCCTAAATGCAAGGGGAGCGATTCTGGGTCTGGTTACGTCATTCTGTTTTGTTGGTTTATCATCGCGAACCTCCGAGAATACGCGCTAGCTGAGGCAGCAAGGGACGCTGCGACCTTTGCCCGAGGGTGCCGGCAGGCTGTCAAAGAGATCCGGCTCAAGGTCCTGCCCGCTGCTTCACCGATCCGATGCGTCAGTTTGACAAGGGACCGCAGATTCGACCTGGTGATCCCGACAGTTTCAAAAGGGTGCAAGAAATGTATCAAGAAGTGAGCGACTTGCGGATTGTCAACGCTTTGAATGCATGTGCGATGAATACCACGGTTTGCTCCCTTGTCATATGTTTGCCAGGCAATGATACAAGGATGATTTGCAAGACTTACCAGTCGAAGCAAGAAAAGCAGGTAGGAAATGTAGTCGACGACGATGGAAGGCAGGAAGTTTTACTGATTGCCATGCAGATCAACATCTCCAAGAAGAGGAATTCTAACTCGTTGAGTGACCAAGGCTCCTGTGCAGGGAACGAGGCAGTAGGAAGTTGATATCGGAGATGCAGATACTTATGCATGTCGTCAGTGCGAGGAGAAAGATCAAGAAGATTTCCAGAAGAACAAGAAAATACCTCGAAATCGGATGAGTGAGGAGCAGCGAAATCAGAAACTCGCAGCCAAGGAAGCCAGCTGGAGTGATTTCTTGTGGTAAGAGAAGAGTACAAAGAGTGTATGTTGAGGAGCGCTCAAATCCTGTTGCCTTTTCATCTCATCTCATCTCATCTCATCTCATCTCATCTCATCTCATCTCATCTCATCTCATCTCATCTCATCTCATCTCATCTCATCTCATCTCATCTCATCTCATCTCATCTCATCTCATCTCATCTCATCTCATCTCATCTCATCTCATCTCATCTCATCTCGCTATCATGTTCGTTTCGCTTCTCACCTCTTGCATCTCTGCTGATCCCATCTTTCTATCAACAGTCTCTCAACGCTACAACCACTTTCTCATACCATCTCTCCACCACATCTCCATGTCAGCTCCACAAGATTCCGTCACCGCTCATCTCGACCTGCGCAGGTTTGCAAACAACTGTCTGGCAAAGAGGCCAGGAGCTCGAATTCACACCTCTCTCCTCATGATTGCATTCCAGGTATCCCTCCTTCCCCTCAACCTCCGATGACTGTCTCTTTCTGCTCTTCCAGGCTCACTTTGCCCATGGAGGGCGACAAGGCGGAGAAATCTCTCTAGGCGTCCTCGGTCAGGTAGAAAGATGAGAAGTTTTGCCACGTTGCTGAGATGTTCTTGTTCTGGCTGTCGAAATTCTTCCAACAGTTTCTCAATCAGTGGGATGCAAGCATAGGAGGAACTAGCCATGGGGGATGGTATAGCAACCTCTCGTTGTCCTACATCATGATGTGCGGGTGAGACCTCCTGTCGTCCTCAGTACTCTTCCCTTTCCTGGCCCCATCCCGTCCCCTTCTCCCTCGACTCGGCTCCATCCATTGATCCTTTACCTCCTCCTCCTCCCCCACCTCCTGCATCTTCACCTCCTCCAACACCTCCAACTCCTGTATGACTGCTGTGGGTGGAAACTAGTTGCATCTTGTGCGAGCGAGCGAGGTCGTCAAGGGTTCAGGTGGTGAGAGACTCGACGAAACCAGGAGGCATCCACAGCGGGACTGGACTCGGCGAACAAGACCCGCAGAACCTTGCAAAGCCAGTGACAGTGAACCATGCAACTCCCAGCAGATTTTGACGACAGAAAACTTACACTAGAACATCTGTGAAACGAAAATGTGGACTCGATTACTTTACAACAACATGTACATCACGTCAAATACATCTACGTGTACATCTACATCTACAATATCAACATGCAATCTTCTGGTTGAAATCATTCCAAATCTGTCTACCTTCACAACATTCCGCACATAGCATTGCGTGCAAGGGATCACAGGAAGTAGAGATTGATGGAGGAAGGAGCGAGTGAGAAGAACAGGAGCATGATCGTGATAAGCGCCCCTGTCAACATCTCATACTCCTCTGTCAAGGGAAGGCGGACCACTAAGAAGATCTGCCCTATCAATACCCCGATCGTAATCCCCACGGCAAACCCCACAAGGGCTCCGATAAGGGTGTACAGGAGCGTAATAACTATTGTAACCACAAGGATCCCCACGTTCGCCTTGGCTGCCTGCAGTTCCAGCATCGACTGCGCACGAAGTCCCTCCATGGAGACGACCTTGAGCCACTCGTTGCGCTTCCTCCTCGCATGCTTGTAGTAGCGAAGGGAGCAGATCACACCGGCGATGAAGTAGATACAGGAGAGGAATATAATGGTCCACCTGCTCTCACGCCGTCAGAAACGCCGGTAGACAGCATGGCGGCGAGCAAGTGCACGTACCCTGAGATGTTCCCTGCTGTTCGACCCAGATCTGATCGCTCAAGTACTCCCTGGAAAGCGAGTGAAAAGCAAGAACAAGAGATGTTTTCAATGAAGGGTTTCATGAAAGTGATCTATTCGCTTCAAATCTCTCATCAACAGTGATTCACCCCTTCATCAAGGGTCTCTTTGACTGAACTTCCTGTTTGCTTTTACATCTTGGTGTATCAGCGCTACATAAACTCCTCTCCCACACTACCCGCTGTGAAAGCGAGTTGTACGAACAAGATGTCATCTAATCTCACAGTTGTTGTTGTGCGATCAAGAAGTCATCATAGTTGTTGTTGAGCGATCAAGCAGTCAAATTCTCTCATTCTCACCGCTGAGATCACTGACACGACCGACGACGACGACGACGAAGGCGACGTCGTCGAATTGCTCTGCACCATTTTCGATAGTGTATCTTAAATCACTATTAGAAGGTGTACGGAGTCACAGAAAAATTGTACTATTGATTCAGTTTGAGCGAAAATATCTTGTACGAGATTTCTAATTATAAAAACTATTTTAATTGTTACTTTCGTTTTATGTACCTTTTGAGTTACCGATGTTTATAACTTATTTGTAGATTGTGTACAGGATAAATTTCCTTTTAACACTTTTTATATTACTATTAGACACCAACCGAACCTTTATTGGCCGTTGCAAAAAAAGCAGAAAAAAGAGCAAAAAAAACAACACAGAGAATACAGACGAACGAAGAGAAGGTCAGGAGAGGGCAGGAGAGGAGAGGAGATCAAAGAACACAAGAGAGGAGGAGAGGAGGGACGAGGTGGGATAGGAAGTGAAGTTGGAAAAGAGGTGAAGAGGGGATAGGATGAGCAAGAGCTGGATTGGAGGGCGAAAGGAGGAAGAGTGGGAGTGGATTGTTGAGAAAGAATTGGGAGACTGGAAGATATGAAGAGAGTGGAAAAGGCAAAGAAATGTGGTGGGTGCAGGAAAGTTGGAACGGACGATTGAAGATCAAACTATGATTGAACAGGACAAAAATAAATTGTGTGTTTCTTTGAATTATGAGACATATAACACCTCAAGCAAGGCTAAGAGTCGAGGATGGAAAGGAGAGGAAGTGAGTGTTGGTTCAGCAGAAAATGAACGGATGAGCAGAAATGGCAAGAGGCGAAGTACGAATGAGACGTGAATGTGTGCTCATCATATCCGAATATGTGACCAGGATGATGCGGTCTTTGTACAGACTTTGTCTTTCTGTCATGCTCTCATCTCAGCAGCATTTCTATCCATTGTGTGTGTGATTCTACTGTGATTAACCATTGTTTTCTTCAGATCGGAGAGAAGAGCGTTTGTCATTGACTTCCCCCTTCCCCGCCATGAGCGTCTCCCTTTCGACAGCAGAGGAGACAAACTTCGAAGGAGTCGCCGCGTCCCGCGATGGCAGCGAGACGCCCAACACGGCGAGCAGCGGCTCCTCGAACGAGCGGATCAGGCGGTACAAGTGGAATGGGCTGACGACGGCGGAGGAGCGAGAGACAGCGAAGGCGCTTAGGGTAGCGCGCGAGCTGAGAAAATCCTCGTCGATTGTGAACAAGTACAATGAGGAGAGAATGGAGCTGAAGCGGCAGCTGGAGGAGGAAAACGAGAGGAAGTACAAGGCGAAGGAGCTGCAGAAGAAGGAGATGCTGCTCAAGTGGAGCAAGAAACTTGACAAGTCGAGCTTCCTCATCGACCAGGTGGCGGAGAGCGAGAGGATCGACGAGGAGCAGCGGGTGAAGCTAGAGGAGGAGGCGAGGAGAGCGAAGCTGTTCGAGGAGAGGAAGCAGAAGATCAAGACCGAGATCATCCTGAAGGCGCTGGCGGAGAGCAACGACTTGGAGCAGCTGCGGCAAGAGAAGCGACTGATACAGGAGGAGGAGAAGAGGTTGAGGATTCAGCAGGGGCTAGAGAAGAGGGGGGCGGCGGACAAGAGGGCGGAGAAAATGCGGGAGATGCAGGAGGAGAGGAGGAGGAAGAACGAGCAGCAGTTCATGCAGCAGAGGAACCGGTTGGCAATGCAACAGGCGGAAGAGGAGCGGAGAAGGGAGGCAATCCTTATGAAGATGCAGATGAAATATGGAGAGATTCCAGGTTATTCCTTCCCCTTTTACTGTCCTCCCCTGCCCGCCCCCAACCCCATCTACCCTCCTTTCCTCCTCCCGTGCCTTCTCCTTCCCCTCCTCTTCCTGAGTTTCTTGCAGGGGAACCGAAGATAGTGGCTCCAGGAGGCAGGAATGACCGCATGTAAACGAGAGGAAGAAGAGCTGGAGATAGAGGAGGAGGAACGGAGTAGACACGCGACTAGATTATTTGGGTGACAGAGAGAAATAGAGCACAAGTAACTTCACTACAGTGTGTTAACAGAAGGGAAGGAGGTCTTGGGAAAGGGGGGAGGGGAGTGCGAGCTAATGGTGGAAGGAGTTAGGAGGAGGAGAACCAATCAACGTCGTTGCCTTGACTTGGACCTGTTCGTTCTGCTCGCACCTAGAAGACCAAGAGTCAATCCTCTCCTGCTCCTGCTCCTGCTCCTGCTCCTGCTCCCCCTTTCCCCTCCTCCTCTTCCACCTGGAAGAAGTTGAATATCGTCTCGATCGTCCTCAAGCATCTTGTCGTCTGCCAGCATCGTCAGAGGAGGAGGCAGCAACTCTCCTGTCCCACCTTCCGCTCCTTCTCCTTCGCTTCCCTGAGCCTCGACCTCTCCCTCTTCCCCGACTGCCCTCATCGTGGCCGCTGCTCTGCTCGAAGCCTCCGCATCCAAAATCTTGATCTCATCTCAGTGATGCAAGTAGGCCAACGGGCGGGGGGAGAGAAAGGAGGGGAACAGGAAGGAAGGCAGGGGGGGGGAGGGAGGAGGAGCAGGGGAAGAAGCCAGGAGGTTGGAGTGGGAGGACGAGCAGGAAAGCAAGAAAAGGGAGAGGGGAGGAGGAGAATACCTGGCGATAGGCGGCTGGCTCTCGAATGGCGTTGAGGGACAGGGAAAGTTGCATGTGCAGCTCGTGCAGACGGTCAAGAAAATCCTCCTGCAGCTGAGCAGCTCCGTGCTCCCTCCTGAAAGACTCAGCTTCCTCCCGCCATCTGACGGAAGGGATACGGTCAGACAAGAAGGAGGAAAAAGCAGCACAAGACGGGGATGGGAGAGGGTTAGGGGATTGAGAGGGTGGGGAGAAAGGAGAAGGAGGAGAAGGAGGAGAAGGAGGAGAAGGAGGACGACAAGGACGGGGAAATCGAAAAGGAGGAGGAGGAGGAGGAGGAGGAGAAGGAGAAGGAGAAGAAGGAGGAATGGAGGGAAGGGAAGAAGGAAGAGGAGGAATGGAGGGGAGGGAGGAAGGAAGAGGAGGAATGGAGGAGGAGGGAGGAAGGAAGAGGTTTCCAACTTCTTTAGGAGGGATAGGATCGATGCTTTCTTCATGAAGAAGTGAAGCTGGACTGCCTCCTCGAAACCATCCGGAACTTTCCGTATGTAACCCAAGATGGCATGCTGTAGACCAACGCGTCACTCCGTTTGACTCCCCTTCCCTGCCTCCCTCTCTGTTGATGCTGCTGCTGCTGCTGCTGCCGCTGCTGCTGCTGCTGCTGCCGCTGCTGCTGCCGCTGCTGCTGCTGCCTCTTCCTCGGCCTCCAATCCCTCCTCTTCCTCTACTTTCTCTTCCTGTTCCCCGGCATCCGTCTTCTGCCTCTCCTTCCTCCTCTGACCTGCAACGTCGCAAGCTGAACCCTCTCGTCATAGGCGCGCACGGCATTGTCGCACACATGAGCGATCCTCCCCCCCGCCGCTCCCTCTGCACAAGTCCATCAGCACCCAAGACCTCCTCCTCCTCCTCCTCCTCCTTCCCCACCTTGTCGCTCGAACCCTCCCAGCCCGGGCTCGTTGAGAATGGGGTGCGGGGCTCCAAGGATCATCCCTTGGATGGAGATGAGGACCTGGAGAAGGAGTGAGCGGAGGAGGCTCGGGCTGACTCCACTCCCGTGCCTGATAGAGCGAGCTGCCCGGATCCCACTTGGGCCCATCGAACGTTCCAAGGAGCGAAAGACAGACCTGGACAAGATGATCAAAACCTTCTCGTCCTCGACCCCGCCCTCTCCCCCCTCTCCTGCTCCATTTCTTCTTCCCTCTCTCCCACCCTCTCTACTGTAAGCTTGCTCTGATGTACCTTGCCGTCAGCATAAAGGTTCGGGTTGAATCGGATGGTTCCATGAGCTGGCAAGACTACAAAGTTAGCAAAGAAAAAAGAAGGAAGGAGTTGCTGCTGGAAGAGCATGACGAGGAGGAGGAGCAGGGGTGTGACGATGAGGAGAAAGAGGAGAAGGAGAATTGGAAACAGAAACAGGTGAAGAATGAGGGAAACAAGGCAAGAGAGGAGGAGGATCATTAGCAGGAGTAGGAGCAGGAAGAGAGATTCGACCTGTTGTTAAGAAGAGCATCTTCGGGGGAACCAAAGGATAACTCGGTGGGAAGTAAAGATCAAACAAAAAAACTCCAGACTGGGAGAAAAAATCAAAGGATATCACACCAGAGGGAGGAAATCAGCTCACTCTACGCTTCTGCTATCTCCCTCTCCCTCCTCCCCTTTATCACCTCACCTCACCTCACCTCTCCTTCCTTTCTCTCTCTCTCTCCTCCCCCACCCCCCCCCCCCATCCTTTTCCCTCCCTCCTTCCCTTCCTCTCCTTTCCCATCTACCTCATAAGGTGTTCCGCTGGGTCCCGTGATAGCGGCTCGCATGTACTGCGGCCTGTCTTGGTCGTAGCGTATCCATATGCTCGAGTTTGGATGCTGCAGCAAGTGCGAGCTCAGCCTGAGCGAGGAGGAAGAGGAAGGAGGGAAGAGAGAATAAGGAGAATAGAAGAGGGGGGAATGCAATGGACGGGGTGAGTGTGAGCGCGTGGGGGACAGGGCAAGGGAGCGGATTGGAGTGGAGGAGGGAGAGAAGAGGGAGAGAAGAGGAGGGAGAGGAGTAGCAGGTGGTGGTACCTGCTCGAGCTGCTTGGGTAGAGATTTCAACTCCTTGTGCAGCCTTTTGAGAGGTTCAGACGGTTTGGCAGGAGGAGCAGCAACGAACCTCTTCATTCGCTGATGAGAACCGCCTTGCTCGTCATGCTTCTCCGACTCTGAAAATCCATCCATCACTCGCCCACATTCGTTCATGGAGGTTTCAGATCACCGGCGAAGCTCGAGAGGCCGTGAAAACCCTCAACACCTTGGCACTTGTACTCTTCCATACACTGGAGAACCAGCATCACTACATCTGATCTGCACCGCAGACATGTTCCGAGTTACCTTTGCATACAAATCTGACGGCATTGGGGTTGTTCCCTCGTTATCGGATTCAGCCGCGTCATCTTCGTCAACAACGATGTCTGTTGTTCTTGATCGAGTCTGCATCTCAACTCCTTCCATCCCGTCGTCTCGATTTCTCTGACTAGGACCAGTCATCTACACGAAAGTCTTTCAGAGCTTGTAGATATCATGACAGTGAGCTACAACGTCGGTGATGTTTGATGGGTTATGCTCGTTGCTATCACGCGGTCTCTCGGCAATCTGCCATTGTTTCAGCAAAACAAGCAGGCGGCGACGAGTTGAGACCTTTGTGAGCGACGAGGACAACATTCTCCACTGTAACAAACCAAGAAGAATGAGGAAGGGGAGGGAAAGGGAAAACAACACATGTCAGAAGAGAATGAGAGCATGACAGTAGCGTCATGAACCTGCACGGGCATCGGGAGAGCAAAAATGATGATTGACATGACGATAGACGCGGAGAAAAATTCACATAAACATAAACAAGTTGACTCCTTCGTGCACCTGAAGGAACAATTTAGCCACTCCAATCAGGATAGTCTCTTGATCTCACTGGCCATAATTCTGATGAATCCAATCTTCGCACCAGTCTTCTTCACGAGAACATATAACCTGCATTCGAATGTCAGAGAGCTGCGGAGTAAAGTCACACAAAAGAACCTTGTTAAAGTACAATTGCTTCTCACTCTGTGCGACAGTCAAATCACACGGCAAATAGATTCCATGTCCAACACCTGGACGAAGAAGCAGCCCGGTGGCTGATGAGACAAGGGCTTCGTCTTATTGTCTCCGTTGATGGGGTGATCCGGCGTCAACGAATACCACTGCACCGCAATGATCATCATCTCCAACCCTTGCTACTTCCCAACAACACCTTAGCAGCCAGTGAACAGGTGAAAGGATCCCTAACCAGCTCCCTTCCTCGAGATTCGCACGTACCACTGACGAGACAGTCAGACTCGATCCTAACGCGTCGCCTTCAAGGGCTCACCTGCGGAAAGCGGCGAAGCCAGGCTCGACAGTCCGGATCATGAGGGACAGGAGCATGAGGATATGGCAAATGACGCAGAGCAGCTCGAGGAACGCGCTCTTCACGGCATCCCAGCGAGAGCTGTGGAAGACGCCGAGCTAGACAGATTGAGTGAGATACAAGTCTCCATCTCCACCGCGAGCAAAACCTGATGGAGGTGGAAGACAGGTCGTAGGTACACAAATTTACAGAAGACCAGGAACGACGACCAGAGGACCCATCCAAACTCGGAGATCTCGTCATCTTGGTCACAATATTCTTCTGCCATCGAGAACGATCCTCTCAAGATAGCAGCATCCATGACAACAATGATTATCTTGCAGAGCCAGAACCTGCCGATCGAGTCGGTCAATTGGCTCAAAGCACCCACCTCACTCAGTGCAGACCTCCTATCTCGCACGAAGTTGCCACAAGAGTTCCACTGCTGTAGCATGACGTTGTGCACAGCAGCACAGCAGCCGGTGGTGACTGTGAAGCATCGGAGCAACAAACCATCGTCCTCCTCATCTTGCCAGTCGCCTGTCAACACCAAGATTCAGCAAGGTTCACAACATCTGGGCTAACACCACCTTCTTCGTGTGGAGGGGCAGGAGACTCGATATCACCAACATCCATGACAATGATACCTACAGGAACAACTCAGACTGGTAGGTTGACTGCGGTGCTCGACACTACCAGGAACATCTCGTTTCTTTGGTGCATTCGTCTTCGCAGGAGACTCTTCCTCAACGAAGATCTCGCTATCGATCGAGGACATTCTTGTTCAACAGCGGTTTCACTTCGTCTTGCAGGTAGGCAACTCCTGCAAAACCAAATCAATGAGTTGTCGACCAAGATTCGCATCGGTTTTGATCAAACTTTGTTGAAAACAGAATGTGCATATCTCAGTGTAGCCTCACCTTCATCGGCTCCATACAAGTTCGCCCATGAGCTACCAGTTCTCCTTCTCTTCGCTCCATCCTCGCATCTTCGCCCTCCCTCCTTCGCTTTCTCGCCCCTGTCCCTCCTCTAGTAGGCTATCGTCCCAGCCCATGTCCCCCGACCGTTATGACCGTTGCGTTTAGAAGAATTTTTTTCAGGAATGGGTAGGGGTACTCAAACTTTGTCCTGAGTACACATCGAGTTATAGAAAATTTAGTTTAGCAAGTAAATATTTGGGGGTGGGGGTAGTACGTAGGGGGGTCCCTTGCTGTGACTGATGGGGTGGGGTGAATTCCTCGGATCGGAGCGATAATGCAGCCATTTACGGGGCGCGAGGAGGCGATGGAGGCAAGGAGGAACGAGAACATGGCGAACGTGGAGACAAGGAGGAACGAGAACATGGCGAACGTGGAGACAAGGAGGAACGAGAAGATGGTAAAGAAGGAAGGCGAGATGAGGATGAACATCATGAGACTCGGGAGATCGCATGTCCTCATACCCCTCCTCTTGCTGCTCGTCGTGATGATATCGGAATCTTGTGCTGCCAGTCCTGCCGGAGTATTGAGGCCCGACATGAGCATCGGTGCGAGGGTTAAGAACATCATGGAATCGATCAAAGATTCGGCATTTGCAGGAGCATCAGGGTGAGCTCGATGCAGACAAGATGGAATTGCCATGTGTTTGTCACGATATGTCGGCATGCACATGATTTTTTGCTGTGCGCATCGTTTGGGGGTAATACCAGTCTACCCCAGAGTTCTTCATGGCCTTGTTTTTCATGCACGTATCTGAGGTGTTTGTGATGTGAAAAACTTGTTCTTGTCATGCGTCTGACAAGTTCCCACAGCCGATTTGTGTCTGTGCTGATGCTGCACCCCGTGGACACTATCAAGACTCGTGCTCAGGTATCATCGGAACTGCAAACTGCTTTGGTAACAGCAACTCACCTCCCGCTCTCCCGCTCTTCTGCAGGTTGTAAGTCTGGAGAGCAAACGAACTGCGGTCACTGCGGTCTATCGCTCGTCAGCATCCCTTGCGGGAGTCGCCCCTTCTTTGGTTGGCAACATTGCAAACGGTCTGACAACATGCCTGGGGTTTGAGGTGTGGAGGAGAATCACAATGGATGCCTTTCCCTCTATGGATCGGACGTTGAACACAGTGAGAACAGTGTTAGTCGTCCTCTAAGAAGATCTGCTGACTTGAGCTCGTTCCAGATCGTCTCCGCTGTCCTTGGCGACATCACTGGGCATGTGCTGCTGGCGCCGACTGAAGTGCTGAAGACAAGATTGCAGTTGAGGATGCACACCAATGTTGCCTCGGGGGCATCGCACATGCTGAGAGGAGGGATCGGAGAGTTTTACCGTGGATACCCCGCAATGCTGCTCCGCGATGTTCCTTACAGAGCGCTCCAGCTAGTGCTGTTCGATGAGATGCTAAGAAGATTTGCAGCATACAAGCAGGGTGGAAAGTTGGAGATGAAGGAAGTGGTTTTGACGGGAGCAGGAGCAGGATGTGCAGCAGCGGTGCTGACGACTCCGTTTGACCTGATGAAGAGTCAGTTGATGGCTAGCAATGGGAGGGTGAACGCCTTGAATGTGTTGAGGGACATCGGGAAGGAGGAAGGGCGAAGGAGGATAATGGCAAGCCTGAGCCCTCGAGTCTTCCACTTGGCTGCGAGTGTAAGTACAGCTTGTTGTTGTAGACATCCCCGTTGACTGCCTGCTGGTCTTACAGACTGCAGCATTTTATCTTGTTTATGACAGCATCAAGGTAACAGGACTCATTGCACAGCGATGTATGTCTAACAATTTGTGTTCCTTCAGCAAAGTCAAGCTCGAAAGGTACAGAAGGCTTAACAGGGGCATACTTTATCCCCCAGCCTTCAGGACTCAGTTTCAAGATATTCAAGATATAATTTAATTTCGAACTTTACCAGAAGGACAGACAGACATGAGGCTCGATTTATCTTACAAGGACATGAATAAAAGAATAAGTTTGCAGCCAACCCTATCTCGAATGCAAAGTCTTGTGGTCGGAATCTGAGTTTGCTATCCATCTTCTTCGCACCGCAGTCGGTCTTGCAGAGATTACTTTTGATCGCTTTTGAAAGCATCGTCACAACATTGAAAATGTCACAACTGAACCTATACCTGCAACATCGGATCTAATTGTCGAGCAAGGGCAGACTGAGACTTGGTGCTATCAGATGTAGCTGCATCGTCTGTACTGTTCTGTTTCACTTCGAAGTGTTGGTAAGAAGGAGTGAGCCTCGTATCCTGCATCTGTTGTGAGTTGAGCAAAGAACAAAGATGAAACTATGTACCTTCACCGATCTCTTTCCGCTTTCTCCTGGAGTTTTAAGATCTCTTTGCTGACGGTTCACCGGTTTCTCCATCAACGGCTTTCTGGAAGGTACTTCTTGCTGATCGGAAGCATTGTGGGAACCAATATCTGTGAGACCATCTCGTCCCTTTACCGCCTCCGTTGGAGCTCTCATCGTTAATGCACGAGTTTGAGGTTCAGTCTTGACCTTGATTGGTTTGGAATTCAGCTGCTTGAGACTAGTAGCTTTCTTCAACTCTTTGCAACTTCTTGCAGTTGTCAATGCGCCTTCATATTCGGCGCACTGTCTATCCAGCTGTTCTATCAGAATGTCTTTCTCACAACTTGCTTGTTTCAGATGGGACAGAGAAGCCTGAAGGCTCAGGCGCTCCTCTTCAACCTCCTCCAATCGCTCCAAGGAAGACTTGGCCCTACCCTCCAAGTCCTTGACGAGGAGCAACAGCTTCTTGACATGGGCTTCCTTTGTCCGCCTCCCTTCTTCCAGCTTCTGGCATCGTTCTCTTTGGATCGAGATGAGCCTGTTCGTGGATTGGAGGGCAACAGAAATACTGGTCTTGGAAGTATTGAGAATGTCGCTCAATTGTGAAATGTTTGACTCTAAACCCGATATCCACTGCGACACTTGCTCCTCCATCTCAGAGTGCCTTTGTAGGATTTGACTGGCAAATCGTGCATGCTTCTCCTCTTCTTTTCGTGAGGAGCTTTCCAGATCTTGATAAAGTTTTGACATGCAGCAATATCGGTTTTCCGCGTCATGGTATTTAATCTCGTTCTCCTGTATGTCTAGTTTCAGCCTTTCAATCTGCTTATCATATGCATCTCGCAGCATGTAAGAAGTTTCGAGCACTTGTGCGTGTTCCACTCTCAACTGACTGAGCTCTCTCGTGCTGTTTTCGGTCTTTCGTATGCTTTCCTTCCAATCCTCCTCCAAACTTTCCAATCGCTTAACAATCGTGTGAAATTTCTCAACTTGAGGTCGTGGCCCGTCCTTCTCACTGTGCTCAGACCTCTGGGCATGCAGAATCATGATCGCCTCTTTAAGAGCTTGAACCTGTTTGCGCAGATGTCTGTTAGAGCACCTGCCAAATCATCAACAACACGCGCAGCTTTCTCGAAACATTCTCCTCACTTCTCTTGGGCGCAGGTAGTCTTCAGGAAACTGTTTTCGGCTGCAAGCCACACCCATGCCTTCTGCAATTCAAGTATTCTGTGCTGGCTGTCATCGGGGAACGGATTTGAGCATGGTTGATCAGTCGCTGGTTTCGGAAGCTTTTCCTTCTCCCTTAACATGGGCAGCTGATCGGTCTCTTCAAATTTTTCATGCTTGTCAAGAAGTGGCGGGTTGTTATCGACGCTATGATGTTGCATCCTGTTTCAATACGAAGGCCGAATATCAAGGAACTATTGTGTTGTTCAAACCCTTTCCACGTTTAGAACGAAACGATCTTTTTCTTGAACTCCATCACATCTCCTTTCTTTGTTCTAGTCTATATCGTTTTCCTCCTCTCTCCTCCCTTCATCTTCTCCTCTCTTCTCCTCACTTCCTCCTCTCTCCTCCCTTCATCTTCTCCTCTCCTCTCCTAACTTCCTCTCTTCTCCCTCACTGCATCGTCGTGCTTCCCGCCATCATGCTACTGCCCGGGCCTCGAAATGTATTTTCAAAAGCTAAATCCATTTTTGAAATTTTCAAAGAGATATCGGAAATAATTTAAACAACCGGTCTTCTTTACCTTCAACTACCCACCACATTCTCATCATCCTAGATTGCAGTAGGCAGATAAGACCAAGATCACTATAGTCTATGGATTTCCTAGAATTATCATAGCACCCCGACCCCCAGCAATACCCCACTGTTTGTGCATACCCTACACCTTTCACCCCTACCCCCTATCTCAACTGATTGCCTCTTCATACCCCAAAATCGATCCTGAAAGTACCCACCGTTTGATATTAAAATGTATGATCCCATCACCCCTACCCCCTTAAAACCACGATCTGTGTTCCAACAAGGTAGTGGGTTCGCTCGAAACCAAGAGGCGCCATGTTCACATTGCTCGGCCTCGACGTTACGTCGGACGCTCGCATGCTGCGAGTGATCGCTGCTCTCTCCTCCTCCTCCTCCTCCTCCTCCTCTCAAGATGAGGATACAGAAGCTGGTCAGCTTCAACCCAGCCCAACATGCCCGGATGCTCCGGTACAGATCGCTCTCATCGTGCGAGACCAAATGCCGTCCGGGGAGAGAAGAGCTGCTGTCGTGCGCAAGACAGTCTTGCCTGATGGATCCTCCTTCACTGTTGGCCTTGAGGTGCCGATTCCAGAGCCGGGAGAGCACACCCTGAATGTCTCAGTCTGCCCGGTAGAGGAAGATGGAAGCGTCGGCTTGCCGTTCTTTGAGCCTCAGGATGTTACCTGCACAGTTGAGGCGCCGAGGCTTCCCCTCCCTCGTCTCCAGCAGAAGGATGCTCTTGTTCTCTGTGGGGTCGATATCCCCAAGGAGGTCAGTGACGGCAAGTTGCGAGTCATCGTCGCGCTCAAGAGAGTTTGGAACGACGCTCCCAGGGAAATCGCCCTCATCGTCCGCGATCTGCAGCCCGACGGGGTGAGGAGAGCGGCCGTTGTCTACAGGACCCTTGGAGATGACGCTGAAGCTGTCGGACTCGAAGTGCCCCTTGGTGAAGCTGGCGCCCACGTGCTGACTGTGCAAGTCGCCAAGGTGGTGAACGGAGAGATGGAAGAAGTGTTTCGGTTGGATGACAACGTCGTGTATGTTTCTAACCCTCCTCCGAGCGTTGTTGTTGAGGATGAGAACCTTGCTGTGTGCGGCGTTGATGTCCCAGAACATGTGGATCAGGGAACTTTCCGAGGGATCGTGGCTCTGCAGCGCAAGAGGGCCGCCGCCCCTGAGAACATCGCCCTCATCGTTCGTGACATTCTCCCGGACGGTACTTCGAGAGTTGCTGTCGTTCGCAAGCAGTTTGTTGACAACGAGCTCAAGACCATTGGGATCGAGGTGCCGATGAACGAGGCCGGCGATCATCTCGTTGAGATCTGCGTTGCTGAGAGCACCCCATACGGCAACTTCGAGATTTTCCGCTTCCCACCCCGCAAGGTCTCTGTTTCCAACCCGCCGATGCCCAGGATCGCGGAGAAGGACAGTGTCGTGCTCTGTGGCATCGACATCCACGGAGCGCGATGGCCCAACTTGAAGTCTAACGTGGTGAACAATGGCCGCCTGCAAGTGATCATGGCGATCGCTCGTACGTGGGAGGATGCGCCCAACAAGTTCGCGCTGGTCGTGAGGGATGTGACGGACCCCAACGAGGTCCGCAAGGCTGCTGTGTTCAAGACATCGGAGGATCTGGAGCCGTTCACGATCGGGTTGCACGTGCCCCTTGCGGAGGAAGGGAGGAGATTGTTGGAGGTCGAGGTGGCTGCAGTGGTGGAAGGTGGTCTGGAGAAACTCTTTTCTGTGCAGCAGATTGCTATCGATGTCATCGCCCCGGCCGTGGAGGAGGCAGCTGTGGAGGAAGAGTCGGGCTCAGAGGACGTTGTCTCCTCTGTTGACTCCTGCAGCGAGACGACGGAGGAGGCCGTGCTTGTCCAGCCCGAGTTCAAGGAGCGAGTAGCTTGCAAGAAGAGCGTCCTCCCTCTCAAGGCCACGTTCTCGTCGCAGGATGCCGACTCGGTGATCCGCAGGCTCTCTGTCCCCGTGGAGTTGGACGAGGAGGAGGTGCCCGTGGAAGGATTCTCTGCAGTGACGGACGCGCTGGTGTATGCCTTCAGGAACGAGCTGAAGATGGGATGCGACGACGTGAAGATCTCTTACACAGACGAGGACGGTGACGAAGTGATGATCTCTTGCGACGAGGAGCTCGGTCTCGCAATGCAGCAGTTCCGTGACGCTTCCGTGATGAGGGTCAAGTTGCATGCGTGAGCAGATGATGGGAAGGGCGAGGAGAGGAGAGGAGAGGAGAGGAGAGCTCCGACGCTTCAGTGTTGTCTGCTACGATCGTCGTTTGTTGTGTTTAGATACAAAATAGAAACAGAAAATTTCTTCTTGATTGTCAAAGCCCAAGTACC